GGACCTACAAAAAAGTCTCTTGGAGCCAAGTGCAAAGTCGCACAGGAAGTCGGCCATTTTGGTCCAAGTACTCGATTTAGTGGTTTTCGCACACGTTGTTTGGAGAGTGATGCTCCATCACCCTTTTCACCAATCACCTTCAAACATCTGCTATACATTCTTAAGACATAGAAGAAAAAATTCAACCGTCGGATTTTAAATAAGTATAAAGGTGTGGGCGTGGCTATGCCTCAAACTTTGACTTGTCGCCACGCCACTCTTTTTTTCACAGCTCCCTATTGGACTCCTTTTACTCAATCACCAGCAATCACTGGCAAATAGCAGCAGACAAGTTGAGGTCACTTGGTCTATAGTACTGGCAGGTTTCGAATAAAGGCGGGGCTTTGGGAGCATGGCGAAATTTGCCATCATGCTATGGAAATACGTTTGTCTCTCATTTCTTCAATCATTGTGACATCGCCACACAATTTCTGATGAGTGATCCTACTCTGACCCATAATAGAAATGGACAGCTGAAGTTTGTGGGCGTGGCCTATTTTCTGAAATAACGCCCCCTAGGACCATTAAAACTGTCAGCCCCAAGCCATGCTTTCACTGAGGAACACGAAATTTGGCACACTAATGTGGTGTCTCAGGACCTACAAAAAAGTCTCTTGGAGCTAAGTGCAAAGTCGCACAGGAAGTCGGCCATTTTGGTCCAAGTACTCGATTTAGTGGTTTTCGCACACGTTGTTTGGAGAGTGTTGCACCATCGCCCTTTTCACCAATCGCCTTCAAACTTCTGCTACATACTCTTAAGACAAAGGGGGAAAAATTCAACCATCGGATTTCAAATAAGTATAAAGGTGTGGGCGTGGCTAAGCCTCAAACTTTGACCTTTCGCCATTACATTCCTTGACTTAACAACTCCCATGTGCATGATCAGATCTATATCAAACTGTGTCTGTGTGATCATTGACCACATCTCAAGACAATGACAATGTGGACAGCTGACATCACCTAAGCCCCGCCCCCTGACTACAGGAAGTCGATTTTTTCATGGTGAAATGCCCATATTTGTCCCCTCTAATTTAGTGAACATGACACTAAGGTCATGCACTGTCTTCATGATGTTGTAATGACCATTCAGATCTGCTAGCTTTTCAGAAAGGGAGGGGATTTGATGCCATGGCGAATTCTGGCGTGACGCTGTGACCTTACATTTGACTGTAACTTCCACAAACAGCCTCCGATTTGCCCGAGACTGAACATCACATCACCAGTGTGGTAAAGATAGAGTATCTCCTAGTGGTGAGACGTGTAATGGTGGGCTCAGAGGGGATGCTGCGTCAGGGTGAGGTGTGGACGAGGAGGCCGTTCACGGTTTCTGGTGTCGGGGTGGTTGACTTTCTGCTCTGCCAGACGTGCCCTGGTGCCCCCGGCTGCCGGACAGGATGGAGAAGCGCGGAGCTGGGTTTGGAGAGGGTCGGGGATGGAGCGGAGGGGGTGCGGAAGGAGGGCGAGCAGCTTCGCTGCGAGGGCCGAACGACGCTGCTTGCAGCTTTAATTATTTTTTGTTATTCCGTGCCCCCTTTGAACAGCTTTTTGGGGACCTTAACATACCCCAAAACTCACAATATTTTGCACACTTGTCAGGCCTGGTGAAAAATTTGATATTTTAAAGGTCCCAAAAAAATCGCAAAGAAAATGGCTGAACAGCGCCCCCTACAAAGTGAAAAAAACCCCTCTCCATAAAGCTTAGTTTATCGTACAGTTATGAAATTTGGTACACTTGTAGTACTCAACAGTCCGCACAGAAAAGTCTCTTGCAACCATTGTCAATATCAAACAGGAAGTCGGCCATTTTGGGTTGAAATGGCGATTTTTTGCCGTTTTTGCTGTTTTTAGGGTCCGTTTCTGATTGGATTGCTCGATCATTTTTCGCACGATCGTCTCAAAAATTGTGTAAAATTGCTCAGAAGGGATGGGCGAACAAAATGAGATAAGGATTCTGAGTTTTCGTATATGTTGAAGGGGCGGAGCCAGGCCTCGAAGTTTGACTACTCGCCAAAAATATTTAAATTGCTATAACTTCATAACTGAATGGAATAGAGTTACCAAACTTTCTGTGGTCATTCGTCATCCACCCACAAAGTAAATTGAATGGTCGGATGATGACATCACACAAGCCCCGCCCCCTCAGGACCAAAAAGATCAAGTTTTACTGTGAAAGGTCCCAAATTGCCCCATTTCACTTAATCACCACAAATTTGTAGCTGGTAACTCAAGACAAGTGGGGGTTGCTTGGCGTCACTTTATGGGAGTTTTCGGCAGAGGGCGGGGCTGTGGCGGCGCGGCGAATTCAGGCGTACCGCCTTGGCCTTACGTTTGCCTCCCATTTCGTCATTTCCAAAGATATCGTCACGAAACTTCTTGTGAGTGATCCTAGTCCGGCCCCCCAAAAGATCTGATGTGAACATCTGGTGGGCGTGGCCTATTTTCTGAAATAGCGCCCCCTAGGACCATTAAAACTGTCAGCCCCAAGCCATGCTTTGACTGAGGATTACGAAATTTGGTACACTAATGTGGTGTCTCAGGACCTACAAAAAAGTCTCTTGAAGCCAAGTGCAAAGTTGCACAGGAAGTCGGCCATTTTGGTCCAAGTGCGCGATTTAGTGGTTTTCACACACGTTGTTTGGAGAGTGATACTCCGTCGCCCTTTTCACCAATCACTTTCAAACTTCTGCTATATAGTCTTAAGACATAGAGGAAAAAATTCAACCGTCGGATTTTAAATAAGTATAAAGGTGTGGGCGTGGCTAAGCCTCAAACTTTGACCTTTCGCCACGCCACTCTTTTTTTCACAGCTCCTTATTGGACTCCTTTTACCCAATCACCAGGAATCTCTGGTAAATAGCAGCAGGCAAGTTGAGGTCACTTGGTCTCCAGTACTGGAAGGTTTTGCAAAAAGGCGGGGCTTTGGGAGCATGGCGAAATTCGCCATCACGCCATGGAAATACGTTTGCCTCTCATTTCTTCATTTATCGTGATATCACCTCGACCATTGTTGTGAGTGATCCTAGTCTGACCCCCAATAGAAAAGGTCAGCTTAAGTTTGTGGGCGTGGCCTATTTTCTGTATTAGCGCCCCCTAGGACCATTAAAACTGTCAGCCCCAAGCCATGCTTTGACTGAGGATTACGAAATTTGGTACACTAATGTGGTGTCTCAGGACCTACAAAAAAGTCTCTTGGAGCCAAGTGCAAAGTCGCACAGGAAGTCGGCCATTTTGGTCCAAGTGCGCGATTTAGTGGTTTTCACACACGTTGTTTGGAGAGTGATGCTCCGTCGCCCTTTTCACCAATCGCCTTCGAGCTTCTGCTATATACTCTTAAGACATAGAGGAAAAAATTCAACCGTCGGATTTTAAATAAGTATAAAGGTGTGGGCGTGGCTAAGCCTCAAACTTTGACCTTTCGCCACGCCACTCTTTTTTTCACAGCTCCCTATTGGACTCCTTTTACCCAATCACCTGGAATCTCTGGTAAATAGCAGCTGACAAGTTGAGGTCACTTGGTCTACAGTACTGGCAGGTTTTGAAAAAAGGCGGGGCTTTGGGAGCATGGCGAAATTCTCCATCACGCCATGGCAATACGTTTGCCTCTCATTTCTTCAATTATCGTGACATCGCCACAAAATGTCTGGTGAGTGATCCTAGTCTGACCCCCAATAGAAATGGGCATCTGAGATTTGTGGGCGTGGCCTATATTCTGAAATAGCGCCCCCTAGGACCATTAAAACTGTCAGCCCCAAGACAAGGTTTGACTGAGGATTACGAAAATTGGTACACTCATGTAGGGTCTCTGGCCCTACAAAAAAGTCTCTTGGAGCCAAGCGCAATTTCGCACAGGAGGTCGGCCATTTTGGTCCAAGTACTCGATTTAGTGGTTTTCGCACACGTTGTTTGGACATTGATGGCCCGTTGCCCTTTACACCGATCACCTTCAAACTTATGCTATGTACTTTTAAGTCAAAGGGGAAAAAATTCAACCGTCGGATTTTAAATAAGTATAAAGGTGTGGGCGTGGCTAAGCCTCAAACTTTGACCTTTCGCCATGACATTACTTGACTTAATAACTCCCATGTGCATGATCAGATCTAATTCAAACTTTGTCTGTGTGATCACTGACCACATCTCAAGACAACGACAATGTGGACAGCTGACATCACCTAAGCCCCGCCCCCTGACAACAGGAAGTCTATTGTTTTATGGTGAAATGCCCATATTTGTCCCCTCTAATTTAATGAAAATGACACTCAGGTCATACAGTGTCTTCATGATGTTTTAAAGACCATTCAGATCTGATAGCTTTCCAGAAAGGGAGGGGCTTTGATGCCATGGTGAATGCTGGCGTGACGCCATGACCTTACATTTGACTGTAATTTCCACAAACGGCCTCCGATTTGCCCGAAACTGAATATGGCAATGAACAATCATGCCCTTTAGCCAATGAGGCACAAACGGTTGGTGAATGTTATATAATGTCACCAAAGCTGACCTCAATGGGACTTTTCTGTAGTTGGTCACAGCGCCACCTAGATAACGTTATCCTTCGATAACTTTAAAAAACATGGTCAGAATAGCATTAAAGTTGGTCACTGTCATCACACCACCAGTGTGGTAAAGATAGAGGATTCCCTAGTGGTGAGACATAAAATATAATGGTGGGCTCAAAGGGGATGCTGAGTCAGGGTGAGTTGCGGACAAGGTGGCCGTTAGCAGTTTCTGGTGTTGGGGTGGTCGACGTTTGTGTTCTGCGGACGTGCCCTGGTGCCCCGGGCTGCCGGCCAGGCCGGAGCGGCGCGGAGCTGCGAGGGCCGAACGACGCTGCTTGCAGCTTTAATTTGTTTTATTTTTTATCTATTTCTATTTTTATGTTGACACATGTAGAATAAAGAGACGGATTTGATTTACCTGGATTGTTATTAGAATAACCCATTATCCCGTTTTCTCTTTGCCAGGGACCTTTATCACTGAATGGACCGAAGGAGCTGCGATGTGTGAGGCTTTCCTAAAAGATGAGGAGTCTTACCGGGCAGTGGCCGATAAGTTAGTCCAGATCAGTCAATACTACGGCTTCGACGGCTGGCTCATTAATATAGAGAACAGCCTCAGTGTAAGTACAAGGTTGCTCTTGTCTTGTCCACAACACTACTCACTCAACTAATGAATGCCATTAGCTGTTCGGTTTGAGCGACAGCATTATAGCTATTGCGAAAAACTTTCTGAAATTAGTAAATGATGGGAAAGTTTTTTAAAACTCAGTATTTTAAAAATCACCAAAGATTTGAGAGCCCAACTCCAAGTCCCCAGACTCTGCTTCCTCACTGGAAGACGTGTCGGTGGGATTGAGGAGGTCTTCGAAGTACTCAAGGCGCCCGATGGTGGACCAGAATCTCCTCGATGCCGTACGGAAGTCTTGCTCCATGGTCTCACTGAACTCCTCACATGCCCGTGTTTTTGCCTTGTCTCTGAGATAGTTAAAAAGCTCCTCTGTGGCAAGGCTCCGGGGGTGGACGAGATCCGCCCGGAGTTCCTTAAGGCTCTGGATGTTGTGGGGCTGTGTTGGCTGACACGGCTCTGCAATATCGCGTGGACATCAGGGGCAGTCCCACTGGACTGGCAGACCGGGGTGGTGGTCCCCTTATATAAAAAGGGAGACCGCAGGGTGTGTTCCAACTACAGGGGGATCACACTCCTGGGCCTTCCTGGTAAGATCTATTCAGGGGTTCTGGAGAGGAGGGTCCGTCAGATTGTTGAACCTCAGATTCAGGAGGAGCAATGTGGTTTTCGTCCTGGCCGTGGAACACTGGACCAGATCAGTGAACGGCTGAAAATGGTGGTGTTGTGAGACACTCTGCTCAGTTTTATGGCTTACCCCGGGTTTCCACGGGAGCCGTCAGCAGCACGTTACTGCATCAGCACGTCTTGCTCGCGTTAGCTGCTGCTTGGCCCTTCCCACGAGACGCTAAGCAGCAGGGGAGCAGCTGTCACCGACAGAGCACTAAACACAACAACAAGCAGGAGAAAACTACAACATGGTTTGTGTTTTATGTTCTGTCCGTTTTATAATCGCCAATACGGACCTGAAAAACAAAGGAGACCGCTAGCTATGTGATAACTTCTCACGGGGCTGCACATTTAGTAATCTTTTTTAAAAGTAAAGCAACCGGAAGGCAGTACGTTCTTTATTCTGAAAATCTCGGGAGCTTCTCTCCATTTCTGCGTCTGATTTCCTGTCTTTCCTTCCCCAAAAATGTCGAACTTGACCCTTTTCAGAGGCGTCGCGCGTAGAAAATAGAACCGGCGAGTAAAGGCCGCGACATGCTGCTCCTGAGACGCGGCCGACTCGCGCTGCTGACGGCTCCAGTGGAAAGCCGGGGTAAGGGACTCTGCCCCCTAGCCTATCAGCTGCCAGGCTCTCGATGCTGGCCTGACTCAGCCTGGCCAGGTACCTCAACGGAGTGGTGAGAAAGTAGAGGGAGAATACGGAATTAGCCGTTGGATACAGTGGTTGGGCCGAGCTGCACTGGTCTGAGTTACTGAGTAGTGCACCTGCATGCTCTCCCACCCTAAACTAGGCATGGGCCAGTTTGTGGTGATGTTGTGTCAAAAAGAAAACAGACAAGAGCTGATGTTTGCCTTCTCCCTCCAACCTGACTGGTTTTAATTTTTCTCCTCAACAGCTCAACGTAGTAGTTCTGTACAAAACCACTCCTAACATCACTAACACAAACAGGCTCTGGTAGAATGCTTCATTTTTGTTTAATTTTAATTTAAAAAAGCAAATATGTAAAAATCATCTAACACAGAAGTGAGCTGATTTTTTTTAATGAGATGACATGAAGGTCTCACCTTCTCCAGGAGGTGGCTGTGAAGAACGCTCCCTTGTTCCTTCGCTACCTGACCGATCAGACGCACGAGCGTGTGTCTGGCAGCTTGATTCTGTGGTATGACAGTGTGACTGAGAGCGGAGAGCTCAAATGGCAGAATGAACTCAACCACTCCAACAGGTAAGAAGAGAACACTCTCTGTCCAGTCCAGTTCGGTAACAGGTCCTTTCTAAAAGGGTTCCCTGATTAGCATCACAACAGAAAAGATTCCTAATTTATTCCCACGTATTTTTTTAACCATTACATTTTCTACTAAAGGATGTTTTTTGATGCTTGTGATGGATTCTTCACCAACTATAACTGGACAGAGGCGAACCTGGAGTGGATGAAGGACTTCTCAGGGGTCCAGGGCCGTCTGGCAGACATCTACGTGGGGGTTGATGTCTTTGCCAGAGGAAAGGTGGTTGGTGGGATGTTTGAAACCAACAAGGTAAATCACCGAGGTCCAAGTGTGTTTGGTTGCACGTGGTAAATGTTGCCCGATAACTTGTCTGGTTCTGGTTGTCTACAGGCTCTGGAGATCATTCGCAAGCACAACTTCTCTGCAGCCATCTTTGCTCCAGGCTGGGTGTATGAGACCCACAGCGATAAGAACGAATTCCGCAGGAATCAACACAAGTGAGATCAACTCCGGTTTTACACTCTGAAAAAGTGGAATTCACAGTGGATGTAGGACAAATGAGCTGAGCCTGAAGTGTCCTGCAGGTTCTGGGCTCTGCTGTTTGACTACCTGTACACCCACCAGGTAGCATCACACCTCCCCTTCACCTCCTCCTTTTGCCAGGGCTTTGGGGAGGCCTTCTACTGGAGGGGACAGGTACTTGCAGGCTTTTGTATTTGGATTTTCTAAAGCTTCACCTTTGACCGCACAAAGCAGTGCATCATCTAGACTTTTGTGACAAATGCTGAGTCAGCAAAACCAAGTGCAGGCGTAGTAAAACGACATACAAGCAGAGACTCGGACTGTGTTCTGGTTCTGTTTTTGCATTTTAGCCCAAACTGAACACAACGACTTATAAAACAGGGTTTTCCTCACACGGCAAGCCTTCAGACCTGGTTTAGACACACAGAATCTTAGACTGTTTTCGTACACCAAGTTCTGCACGGAAGGGGTCACTGGGTCAAACACACCCGGTTCTTCTCAAACTAGAAGCTTGGGATCACCAGCCAGTCCACGACTTTCTCTAGATAAAACTGAAAAGGTAGATTAAAGCAAAAACCAAAGTGAAAACTATAGATCTCAATAATTATTTTAATGTCAGCAACGCATTTGGTTCACGCCCGGCAGTCGGAAGTGTTCTGTGACAGCCCTGGTCACTCTCGGTTAGGGATGAGCGAGTACACCGCTATCTGTATCTGTATCTGTACTCGGAGTGGGCGTGACCTAACTCTGAAGTGGGTGTGGTTTAACCGGAAGTGGGTGTGGTTTACATCAATACATTATTTAAATTCTGAAATTGATATGGATTGATCAGAAGTTGCTCTGTGTATTGTTTATTTGAAAACTATTTACAGAGCAGCCTCAGAATTGAGATTAAATATTTTTGATCACAATAGTAAAGAAACTATTACAGAACAAGTTTTTCAGTAAAATCAGAACATTAATATTTAAGTGCAGAGAGAGAGAGAGAATAATTTAAAAAACCCGACCAGAGCGCAGGCAGTGACCGACGCATGCACGAGCTGACGAGCCGTTTTCAGCTCTGTCTTGTCAAATGCACCACGTACGTTACGAAAAAAGTAACTTTAAATATTCAACCGAAAAAGAGGCGAGCTGAAGAAACCTGAGCAACAGTGAAGCAATTACAGCGAGATCCATTACTGTCTGTGTGTGTTCGTGGTTGAGCCGGACGGACTGCGCTCCCGGCCGGCTAGAGAGTTTTGTGTGTAGGGAGGGGCGGGCGCTCTATGTGACTGGCCAATCACAGAGCGTGAAGACAGTCAGTTACCCAATGAGGATTTTCCTTCAGCACGATTACAGATATTTACGAGTTTTACACGTTTCATGCTCGTATTCGTCAAAAATGCTTTATCCGTACCGGATACTCGTCTGAAACCAGTGTCTGGCTCATCCCTACTCTCAGTCATTCACGTGACAAACGTCTCACTCGCTTTCCATCACTAACCACCACTGACCATCATCGAGTCCCTTTTACTAACGTTCAATCGGTACACAAGTTAGGAACACCTGTGGACACAGTTCAACAGGTAAGGAGGAAATAGTAGAACATGTAGCTGCTGTTAGTGGAGCTAAGCCGTCATCCAGTCAGAGCACCTAGCATCTGGCCCACACACACACACATAGAGTTGAAGGCACTTAGGACGGTAATATTTGTGCTTCTAGGGGCAGTAGAGATGCCGGTGGCAGCGCTAAAAGGTGCAGAAGGTGTTTTTCTAAAGACCACAACTAAGAATCTCTTCATAATAATTTCCTAAAACACTTCCAGTACCCGACCCTGCTCCATCCTTTAGTACTCTGCTGTCTCTAACTGAAAAGTGAACACTTGCTGCTACTAGGACACCTTTGACCCAGAAATGCTGCTACGTTGAATGTCAACTTTGATTGTTCTGTCTCTTTACAAAAGCTTCTTCCATGTTGATTTATGGTCAGTGACATATTCTTTTCCTTCATTTGTTGTCAGATTGAGACAAAGAGGAGCTGGTTGAACCTGACAGCCCAGGAGATCCAGCCCCTGTACAGCAGCTGGGATACGGAGGCTCAGGGCAGGCTGACGAGCTGTGGCTGCCCCGAGGAACCCTGGAACGGAGGCAGCTCTCTGCTGCTGGCTGGACTCATCCCTGCTGCTCTCAAGACTCCAGTGTGTGCCCCGTATGTGTGTCGATGCTTTTGTTTATTCACATAAATGAAGAGAGGAAACAGAATATTTGCATGTGTCAAGTTAGTAAACAGGTCAATGTTATTTATGTAGCACAAATCATAAAGTCATACAATCACAATGGACTTAAAAGAAAATGAAAACAGCCAATAAAATAAATGAAAATCAGAAAAAACAAAGTCATGAAATTATAAAAGGATCCTAAAAATCATAAAACAAATGAAAGATGATAAATATTTATGTAAAAGCAGCTTTAAATAACCTTGCTGAGATGGAGAGGAGGGGTACCCAGAGTAGTTTCGGCTCATTAACAACAGACAGCAACAGTTTATAAGCTTGTCTCTCCCATGTTCCAGTTAGGATTGACAAAGCTCCTCGGATGAGAAGCAAAACGCCTTCAAGAAACCAAAGAAGTCCAGTCGTCTTCATGTAAACTCTTTGGATTAAATAAAAGGGTCTTTAGCGTCCAGACTGTCAACGCTGCGTAAGGATAAAGGAAGATCATTCCAGAGTCGGGGTGCAACAGTCTGGAAGGAGCGATCACCTCGACTTTTATATCTGGTCTTTGGAACTTCTAGAAGGTTCTGTAATGTCCAGAAATGGTCAATTTCCCCCTACATATTGACCCACATGCCACTGGTCATCTGCAGACCTAATTCCATTCTCCGAGGTGGATTTTACACCATAACTTCCTACAAGCCAGAAGGATACTGCAACCTTGTTGATATTTCAGGGGGAACACGTTGTCAGCCTGTGCTCCCAAACAAAGCCTTCTCTGATAACACCACAGGGGTGCCCACTCTCTATAATAGGAGGATGTCTTCAGCTTATATGAGTTAATCATTCGTATAATAATAATAATGTTTTGATTAATCTGTGCTTAAATCAATAAGGTTGATTGATCTGTGCTTGAGTTACTGAAAGAAATGAAATGAAGTCTTACATTGTGTAGCATTGCAAATTGAGCTCAAGATATTTATATCTCGACTTATGACCAATAAGCTGTGATATTCTATTTAAATATAAAATATCCACCCTGCTTGGTCTTTATTGTATTTATCAGAAGATTCTAGGATTTTCGCTTTATTAAGTAATTGTAAACACTTTGTTTGATCCAGAAAAGAGTCAAGTTTATAAAAGAATTAATTTATTTTTCTAACAATTAAAACATGACAAGTGAACTAAGCATTTACTGTGAGTGGATGGAAGTAAATGTGACGTATAACTATGTGTCAATGCGGTGTTAGTCAGAACCTCCTTATCTAGGAAAGCTGAGTTCTGGATGTAAAAGAATTTGGGTTGCATAAACTACGAAGTTCCTATCAAAGACACATCAGACGCATGTCTACTTCACCCGTTCTCGGAGACCCTCGTGATAGATCCGGAATGTCAAAGTCCTTGGACTTCCAGACGCAGAGGTCCGCAGAAGAAACTGCGGCCCCCACGAAACCGGTCTTAAGAGTTGTCTCTAGGTCAGAACAGAGGATGGAACCGTGAGTCTGGCGGACTCTTAAGAAGCCTTAAGCAATATCAGCTTGTTTTGCAGGAACTGTTGCTGCATCAGCTTTGCAGGTGCAAAAAGATTTTGACGATGTGTCAAAATCTTTGATGGGTTGAAGAGGTGTGCTTCAGATGGCCGGTCTGAAGCTTTCTCTAGAACTGCCGAATCACCCAGGGTGACCCAGTTTTAAGGTTTTGATGTTATGATTTGCACAGCCAATCAAAGGCTGACAGGCTTTAGAGATGCTACCAAGACAACTCAGAAACACGCCTTCTTTGACCGGATGTTCTGACCGGGTAAAAGACTATTTATGTGTCCGAGTTTAACGTAACCGTACTTGTTGTGGTGCGAGTGCAGATGTTATGACCTTTGCCATATAAACCTGCGGAACCACATTGCAGTCATTGTAGACATAACGTTCATTTCAAACTTCACATTGAGCACAGATTAGTGAAACATTTCATTATAATATAATTATTATAAGTAGCAATAAACAAACGTTTATTTAAAGATTATCTAGAATAAAAGTCACGGAAGAAGTTCATATTGATTTAGGAAATCATTCTTGAATTTAGCAACTGATCCGAGCTGGAGTGTTCCTTATGTGGAGGCCTTGGGGAAGAAAGTTATTGTTGACATGTCGTTATCTGTTGTCAGAGCTGCAGAGTCTGTGAGCTCCAGCTGGTATGAAGGCAGGCTCATTTAAAGGGAACACATGCAGTCCTGTGTCTCCTGTTTGACCAGATGTTGGATAGATGTTGAAAGGTCAAACTGTACCAAAAACTGACCATCGCTGGACGTTACAATTGATTTATATATATGGTAATCAGTAATGTTTGATATGACAAGGCAATCATTACCTGCACCAGACATAAGGACAAATTAAAGTTAAGTTAAACTCATGACACATAGATATTTCTTTACCCCAGATCGGAGCGTCCGGTATCTCAGGAAGGCGTGTTTTCTGAGGTTGTCTTGGTAATATCCCTTAACTCTTTCCTGAATCAAAACGAAGTGTTTACAATCCCTGAATAAACAAAGAATCCTAGAATCTTCTGATTAAACATCCAAAGACCAAGCAGGTTGATATTCTATATTTATATAGAGTATCATGGCTTATTGGTCATAAGTAGAGGTAATATATTAAGCTCTTAAAGCACTAAATTTACCACCTCCTACAGTTCTGGTGGGTGGACCTGAGGGCTCGGGTTGGAGCATAAGGCTTTAACAGTTCAGTAATATAGGGAGGAGCTTGACCATGTAGAGCCCTGAAAGTTATAGTCAGGACTCTAAAATGAACTCTAAAGGTAACGGGTAACCAGTGCAGAGACATCAGAATAGGAGTGATGTGTGCTCTTCTGTTTGCTCCAGTTAGGAGCCTCGCTGCAGAGTTCTGGACCAACTGAAGGCGGTCAAGGGCTTTTTTGTTAAAACATGTGAAAAATGTGTTACAGTGATCTGGACAGGAGGAGATAAAGGCATGGAGAACCATTTCAAGTTCCATGTTTTGACACCAACCTTCACAGTTTGGGGATATTTCTCAAATGATAAGTTTCGAACCAGCGTTTTGAGTGATTTTAAGAGACATTGATTGGTCAAACCCAAAACAGAGCCTTGTGGTACGCCACAGAACAAATCGGTAGAATCCAGGGGTGGACTGGGATCCAAATTCAGCCCTGGCATTTTTACGAATCGTCGACCCTCCCCATTAGGAGAGCGGTGGGGGTGGGGGGTGTTGCCGCCCGCGGACTGGTCTCTAGGCCGAACGTGAGATCTAATATAGACTGGGACTGTTAAATTACAAGCAGGGCCAGACCGCTGCGACCGGGAGCCCTGGCCTTCCAGATCAGATCATTCTCCACGGTTGGAGATCAGCAGGACATTAGCTACATGCTAACACAGTAAAACAACTCCTACGTCATTGCTCTACCGCATTTTTATTACTAAAAACGCCTTGATAAACTCTGTTAGTTTTGGGTTACCATGTAGCTAATGTTCTGCAGATCACCAACTGTGGAGTAGTGTCGGCCCAAGCCGGGCAAGCAGCCCACTTGGCTAAGCGGCCCACCGGGACAGTGCCAGAATGCCAGATAGACCAGTCCACACCTGGATCTGACATGATTTGGTTTATACAGGCTCTGTAACCTCTGCTAGGTCTAGAACAGTTCGAGAGATCCCCACAAAGTCACAAAATCCTTAATTAGGGTGCTGTGATCAACAGTGTCAAAAGAATAAGAATACCTTTTTTTGTCCCTCAGTGGAGAAATTACATTATTGCAATGGCTCATGTACAGCAGGATAGCTGCAGTAGCACACAAGATATGGTGTAAGAGAAGAAGAAGAAGAAAATATCATTTCTATAGCACCTCTCAAGATAAAAATCACGATGCGCTTCACAAAAACAAAAAAAAAAATGTAAAAATATAAAAAAGCATTTAGAAAATGTTTAAAAATATATTTAAAATTAGCAAAAATAGACAATTGTGATTTAAAAGAAAAAATGTTAAGAAAGAAAGAGAGTGAATAGGAAAGAGGGAAATCAGTGGATCCTGAGGAAGGTGGAATAGGTGGGGAGAGCAGAGTAGAGTATAAAGATCTTGTAAATGAAGACAATTATTGCACATCTAACAAGAGTATTGCTCATGTCTTGGAAGATGATATTTTTAGTGGAATGTTGCAAATGTATGGGTTCCTTTAGCAGTGGCTATAGTCTAACAGGGAGGAAAGGCCTGCGGTATTGCTCCTTCTACAGCGAGGGTGGATCAGTCTGTCACTGAAGCTGCTCTCCAGAGCAGACTGGACTGCTGCAGAAGCTGCAGAATACTGACTGTAAAGTCCGCGTTGGCTGCGGCCGTCGTGATGTCACTGGAAACTAGGCAAAGCCGTTTCTATTGAAGGCTTTTTACGAAAACCAGATGTTGATCTGATGGGCTCCACCTTCAGAGGACTGAGGCTGAAACACACAGAGAGTGTTGGAGTCATGGGGTTTGGGTTGGGTTTTTGTCCATTATTATCTTCACAATAACACACACACACACACACACACACACACACACACACACACACACACACACACACACACACACACACACACCTTGTTCCTGTGTAGTGTTTTATGAGTAATGTATTTGCGTGTGTTCCTTATGTTTTAGAATGTTCTCCCTGCATGTTCCTGTGGACTCCAGGATCTTTGTAGCTCTGATCTACAAAACATCTTCAGGGATCAAAGTGTCTCTGCAGATAAAGACAGAAGACAGTGCCCACTCCTCTCACACTAATGTACAGGAAGTCACATGTAAGTGTTTAAAGTACATAGCATTAGGACCACTGAGAAGAAAATAACCTGGTAGTTTAACAAGATTTAGTTCCTGCAGTAAAGTCAACACAAGTCCAGGGATATTTAAGATGACAGTAGTGATGCCACAGACTGCAGAAGGTCAGTTGCTGAATATTTTTAGTTTATCTCAATCTTGCACTCACGAGCCACAAATTAACCAATTAATTTAAAGGTGCAATATGTAAGAATGAAGTAAAGACATTAGGGCTGCAGCTATCGAATATTTTTGTAATCGAGTACTCTATCGAATCTTTTATCAATTAATCGAGTACTCTAATTACGCTTTTGCGTTTGTAAACCATTATATCAAATAGCATGTTATAAAATATGAAAAACCTCTTGAAATGAGAAAGCAATTGCCAGTTATTCTTCAAGTTTTATTCAACATTAGTTTTCAAAACTTCAGCTTTTCAACTTTACTTCACAGTAAACAAATGCAAGCGGCTGCGGCCCAAACAGCACCAGAAACGCTCATGGCGCATGCGCAAACATGGCTCGCCAGCTATTTCCTTATTAACACACATCCTTTTTAATTTCTACACTTTTTTTTGTCTCACACTAACAAGGATTGTCGAGAAAGCATGTTTGACGTGGTTATGTCAAGTTATACTGATCACAAAACATTTATTTGCTTTCTTTCGTTTTCCTCTCATGTCCTCCTGCAGCAATCCTGAGGGACAACGGACATCAATAACAACACAATAAAAAGTCTGACGTGTTGTAAAAACTGCTATTTTTAGCACATTTTAAGTCCGACGTGTTGCTACCAGACGTACGGTGTGAGCTGAAACTGAGTGCTACAAATGAAAAAGTTGCACAGTGCCTGCAGAATATAGAGAAATACAGGCTAAAATGCATTATCTTGTAGAGACTCCGAGTCCGCTTGCAGAAGGGACATTTACATGTGGATGTTTCCTGGTCAGGTTGCAGCATGGAGGATGTGGTGTTGTGGTAGGCTAAATCCATTTTACAGTATTTACGCTGGACTACGTTTTCCGCCTTACGACGTGAAAAATGGTCCCACACCTTTGACATTTTCTGTCTTTTTCGCACTCCACCGGGGTCCACGTTGTCCGCCATGGCTTAAGAGAAAGTGAAGTTACATTTGCTACTTGCGTGTGCATTCAGTGCAGTGTGTATGTGCGTCACTTATTTCGGTCCAGGTGAAACATGACCCCGGGTGATTGCAAAGCCATGAATTAATCAAACGAAGCCTCGATGCAGAGAATTTGACTCGAGGATTTTTTGTACTCAAATTATTCGAGGTACTCGAGGAATCGTTTCAGCCCTAAAAGACATTCTGTGGTCAACCTAGGTCCACTGCAGTCACTTTCTTACTCCCATTTTGAGAGTTTCATGGCTGTTGCCAACTACGGATCAGCACCAGAAGATTCTAGAAGACGAGCAAAGAGCCCTTTTTACAGGGTCAAGCTCAGCTTTATTTCTCTAGCACACTTACTGTTGCTCAAGCTACCCAAAGTGCTGTACATAACAATACCACATCAAACAAACCCAAAAATGATCACGGTAAAAACATAGAAAGTAGACAATAAAACAATGATTAAAGTGACAGGCTGAGCATAAACACTAACTACACGATCAAGTAATAAAAGCTCAGTAAACTAGATAAAAGTAAAAGAATAGCTACACAGATCAACCAACATTAAAAGCCAGGTTCAAAGAAATGAGTTTTAAGAAATTACTTAAAATACTTCAATGTCTGAGAGGTCCTCAGCTGCAGGGGGAGGCTGTTCCAGAGCTTCGGGCCAGCCACTGAAAAAGCTCCATCCCCTCGAGTCTTGAGACGAGCCTTTGGAATAACCGACAGGGACTGGGAACTAGACCTCAGATTCCTAACAGGAGTGTAGGTTAGCAGCACATTATCTATGTAGGGCGGGGCTAGGCCATGGAGAGATTTAAATACAAACAGCAGTCATTTTAACAGGAAGCCATTGAAGGAAAGCGAGCACAGGAGTGATATGGTCACGCTTCCTTGCTGCTGCATTTTGAACCAGCTGTAAGAGGAGTGTTCCAGGCCATATTAGAGGGAATCGCAGTAGTCCAACCGAAAAGAGACAAATGAATAACATATTCAAAGACGATTGCAGGTAGATTTTGCTTGACCCTGGCCAGTTGTCTTAAATGATCAAAACCAGACTGGACCACTGTAATTATCTGCCTATCAAGTTTAAATAAGACACACTATGCCAGCAAATCAGCGTTATACTGCCACCACAGTTTGTCTAATGACATTCGTTTTTGCCAAGCTTGGTAGTAATATTACTGCAACACCTCACTTGTCAATGCATATTAAGCCTTGGCGCAACAGAGGGGGATGTCACGATCACGTGGGGAGTTACTGTCGAGCTCTGGCCGGCTTTAAGATTGAAATTGAAAGTAAACCCGGGAAGTATGTTTCACTTTTGTTAACAGAATCAGCTGAGATGATAAACTGGAGCGATGCAAAGCTCTGCCAACCCCCATACCCCCCTTTTTACCACCATTGTACAATCTTTTGTAAAAGGACACGATTGCTGCAATTCTCAGTGTCTCAGTCCGAAAAGTGATTTAAACTCAACAAATGTTTGAGTTCCTCTGTTAGCCAGTCAGTAAGGCCACAGAGCATAATTTTTTGCAACTTTTTGCAAAACTTGACTGTCCTGATGAGCAATTGTGGAGGTTTTATGACCTGGTTGCATTTCCCAGTTACGAGCATGGGAGGAGGGTCTTTAGTGATGTAGCTGACCATTTTGTTGCCTGATTTTTCTGCCTTTTTATCTGACAGTGTCAACAAAAACATGGGAAAAGCACTATTAACAGTACATTTAGCTGAATAATTTACAGCCTGACAGATTCTTAATGTCCATCTTCCCAAGATGATCAAGTTTGTTTTTAATGGTTTTAAAAACATAATCACCTGTCTTGGTACAGGGGATTATGTGGGCCAGCATAAAATCCTACGATTCATTAAATTATCAACAAATGTGAAAGAAAAGTTGCATGTGAAAAAAACCTTTTGGCCCTGAGGGGTATTTTTTAATCAGTTTTTGAGATCCACCTTTAACCCTTTACATTAGATGAACTTAAAATTTTACTTAAAGTGACAGTGTGTACTTTCCCTGGCGATAGGGGACAGTACACACCTAAATTATTGCAAGAAAGCATTATTTTTGTGTTCAAGTAAGACCTTACCAACGGATGGCCATTAGGGTCAAAAATCCCTGGGATCCCAACTTCCAGCAAAATAACAAGAACATCAGACTCCCTTTCATCACTGGCAACGAGTGAGGAGGTAAATGTGTAAAACAACAGCGTTTATTATTGGTGAAAGTTTTGTAACCATTTGTTACAAATCTGTAAATTTGTTTTGTCCTCACGGGCTTCCATAGAAGGAAAGATGGCATCCAATAAGGCGTTGCCCAGAGACTTGGACCCGCTCCCATGTATTTTAGAACAGATTTCTATGGTTATATGTTATGAAACTGCAAATAGTTTTCAACAACTGGGTATCTTTTAATCCATTTACTACCACATTTTAATGGATATTTCCAGAGATTAGTGGTAAAAACTACACATTGGCTGTGTCTCAATTCAGGGTCTGCATCCTTCGAAGGACCCAGCCTATTCGGCCGACGTGGGCTGCGTCCTCCGTCGGCCGAGTAGACCAGATGTTGACGGCTGTGAATTTGGACAGGCCTAGCCTTCATGAACTCCCGCCCCTCCCTCGGCAAACGTTCCATCGCCTAGCAACCGTGGAACCGCTGTGCAGAAGGGAGAAGGAACTTTAAACGATGGAGCTCGAAGTTTTATTTAGATCTTTAATCATTTCCTTGACTGTTGGAGAGCTAATTCGGAGAAAATACTTTAGACAAGCTGAGCCTGAGCAAAGATGTGATAATAGTTTTTAATACTTTCTAAGGGTCTTAATTTGACCAAAACCGATTTATCACCTTTTAAGACTTTAGACCCAGCGGATACCCTCTAGTAAACAATTCTCATTTGTAAACCAAAATAAAATTCAAGAGTTTAATGCAGAACTGATTTTATTTAGATATTTCTTTTATATGTACATGTTTAATCTTTATTAACCATTTTTTTCTAGCAAAGTAAAAAGCTGTCAAAGTTCTCCCTTCTCTCCTGTGCTCTCTGCAGCCTCATGTCCTCCCTGATCAGCTCCAGAAGCTGGTCATCGCTGGCACCTTCCCCTGGATGCCCATTTTCTCCAGAATAGTCTTAACAAACATGTAAGAAAAGAAACAGGAAGAGAAAAGAGGGCAACGGGTTATTCCTTTCATGTTTCCTCAGAAAAAAATAAACTCAAACGAGTTTTTAAAATATGAGATGTTATTGTACCTCCGTGCCACAGCCGCTGAATACTTTGCTCCAGTGATCATGTGGTCCATCTTCCCCCTGAGCTTAATAAATTCCCTGGTTTTCTCTTGTACCTAAAATACAAACTTCTATTAAAATCAGGGGGAAAACGTAGCGGGAGAAGTACGACACCGAGCGGCCGAACATACGAGCCGAGACCGCAATACAAGCACTTTTACTGTAACATTTCTAACTAAAATAACGTTCATGTGTCACAAAAAGTCCTTAACCTAACAGTTTTCAAGTTTATACTGACATTTATGTGCGCAATCCTCTCCAACAGCTCCCGCTTCACTGTCCGCCATTGTTTTTAAGTTTTTCTGCCGGCCGGCCCGCAAGGCATCTTGGGAAATGCTACCTATTGAAGGATACACCGGACCCATCCTTGCAGGCGAAAAGAAGGCCGCATTCGTCGACCGCATTTGAAGGAGTCTTCGAATTGGGACAGGCTGAGTCGCGGCGCTGTGACGTAACCGGCCGACGAATCCGGCCGACGTAGGATGCAGACCCTGAATTGAGACACAGCCATTGTCACTTTAACAAGAAAAAAATGTTAAAACTAAATAATCCTAAATAATATGGAGTTGTTTGAAGAAAACATTGTTATATTGCATTAGTATTGTTACAATTAGCATATTATTATTCATTTACATTAAACTAAAGCCCCTTGCGCCAAATAAAAACTGCAAGAGTGGAATGTTTTCATAGATGTTTTTCTTGCTGAGGAAGTTAAAGGGCAGTGTGCATGTAGATCAGTGGGACATGATTTTGTGAAATTCTCAAGAATTAGTGTACTGTTTGTAAAGTTTTTATTTAAACAGCTGCTGATATGTTTGAATGTCTTTTTTTAGTTGTTTTCATCAGTGTTGTCCATCTGTTCTGTCCTCTGTGGCAAGATCCCTCTTGAGACAGAGGTTCTGATCCTAACGGGTTTATCTGGTGGACAGAACTTTGAGGATTTTCAGAGATTTGGGTGATGTATGAGTATTTGTGGCCAAACTTGTGTATTTGCTGTGCAGTAGCCAGTGTTTCGTCGGAAGCTCTGAAGGATGACCAGTTAGTGAGCCAGTTCTCCCAGATGTGTGGAAACCCAGATCCAGATGGTTGGACCTTCAGGTGAGAATCAGCTGTTTAGCAGCAGGTCGAATTTCATTTTAACGTGGACGTTCCTGTTGTCCCTGGGCAGGTGTTCTCAGCTGGAGCTTCATGGCTGCATTCTGACAGAAATCAGTCTGCTCATCCAGCGGGATGGAGAGGACACTGGTCAGAACACTCCGTTCAGCTGCCATGTTGGCGAGATTGTGGTGAGGCTTTACCCTCAAGAATGAACAAGGCTGGGGTTGAAAGGGATCACATTTTTAGGAGGGGGATGTTTGTGTGTTTTACTCTGTATTTAATAGAAATGTTTTTGGTGTGTGTGTGTGCGTGTGTGTGAGAGGTGCTGGATGTGGCTAGTCTCCAGGTGCCCCCCTATGCGGTCCAGGGTCTGTGCATTGATGACGTTGTTTGGATGCGTGGTGCTGGTCCTTCACCAGAGACTGCGTCCCCCCTCCTGCGCCTCGGTGCTACTCTGCGCTGGGAGTACCCAGCTGAACTGGTTCACCACTTCAGAGTGTACCAGCGATGGCTGAGAGGACCTGATCCCAGAATTCCTGCAGGTCAGCTACAGCTCGTGGGTCGCGCCTACTCCGGTCTGTTCAGGGTAACGGAACTGGTGGTGCCCGAGCCCCCCAGCCTGGTGGAGCTGGTGGTGGAGCCAATTATCTGGACGGGCCTTCCGATCCCTGAAAGCCACTGGGGGAGGAGACAGCTCAGCTATACGGAAGGCATTCAACAGTAATTTTCAACACACATTGTCAGACTGAAAAACACCAAATTGTTCCTCCTCACGTGTCAGTGGCTTCAAGTTTTACAGATCAGAGGTGACCTGCGGCTGACTAGTCCGTGCGAACCGTTAGGTGTGAAAGTCACTATTTAACTATCACAGTATCCACCAGCCAACCCAGGAAGTCTGTCATGATAACATCTCTTGTGTCTTGATGCTGCACAACTCCCTCTAAATCAGTTTCCCCACACCCCCACACAGTGGACAGGAAGATAATAACCAGGATGTTGCCTCAGTTGAGCTGAGTGGATTGGACAGGAGGAGCAGCACAGAGCCGGCATAGTTTTAGTGAAGAATGAAGGAGCGTTGCCAACACGATGAAAGCCGGAAGCACTCTCAAAAGATGGACTGGTGGATGAAGATTTAACTTGTTTACTTCAAGCATTTGCTAACTTCATACATTTGATTTAGATCAGAGAAAATCCATGTCTTGGTGAAACCATTGTTAAAGCTGGTAAACACAAGTATATCAGATCATTTAATAAAGGTGTTGAACACTCGTTTCATCAGTACAGTTGCAGTGAACTCTAGTGGGAATGAAAATGAATGCCCTGTAAGTCGTGCTTGTCCAGAAGCACCTGTTTCAACAGCTGGAGAAGAAAGTAGCTTCGATGGCAGGATTTGGAGTCTTATTTCCTGCTATTTGGACATCTCAACCTCTGACTGGCTAACCGCAACTGGACTCTACCACTGACTCTGTTTGCTCTGGGACGTTGATGTTTTATCTCCACAAAAAACACAAGCCTGGAGGAGTTCTGCTGTGTGGCAGAGTTGCTAATGCTAACAGTTAGCTTCTACTAGTAGAGACATTCTCTGCTGTTTTCTGGACGCTTAACCAACAACAGCCTTCCCCGCTGTGAGTCAAGACGGAGTCCATGAATGTTGGTGACAGCGTGACGTAGATCTGTCAGGATTTTCTAATCCTAGAGTTTCACCGTCTGTTTTCTGTCAGAGCAAATGCAGGAGATCGGTGTAGGAGACTATTGTTATGTAACTCAGAGTGACTGATTATAATCAGAAATAATCATTAAAAATTGTTGCTCAGTGAACCAGACTGTTAACTTTGTTAGAAAATCTCTTTCATTCAACTTTGAACAATTTTTTCGACAGCACCTTGAACAACGCTGATGGAAGAGTCCTGAAAACCAGGCCAGACGAGCATGGGCGATCTTAGGGATAACAATGCTAACCGTTTTGGTACTAGCTCCGACCACAGCTACGCTAGCGATGCAACCATCTAACGGATTTTAACGAGGAATTTCCACCAGTGACCCCAACTAAACCACCAATTCTAAAGAAACGCGGTCAGAGTGAGTCTGAGAATGTCACTGCCTTGTAAAAAGTTCGATAATTATTTTTTGGTACTTTTCCCCATGGAGTTCCGCGGAGAGTGACAAAAATGACATGTAGGGTTGGAAACAGACTTTACAGCTCTAAGCTCCTTTGCTCCACATTTAGCTGCCCAGTAATCTGAATGGGTTGATTGTACAGGTGGAGGGACTCTTGAGCTGATGAAATAATTCTGGAAATGATCATCTATGTCTGGATGGAAATATTAACACTCCATACTGGTTTCCAGAACAAAATCATTCAGAGCCATCTGAAGTCAGCGTTTAGATAACTACTTTGTCGGCCCATCCAAACTACTTCTTGACTTATTAGACCCGTTTATAAGTAAGAATCTCGACATAAGGATTGTGAAACAAAGTGAAAAATACATTTTTATTGATTTAATGCCTGATAAAAGCAGAACTTAATTATATTTGGCACGAATAAAAAGAAATCTGAAGGTGGTTCACTGATGATTGTTGATTGTCTGAGCCATCCCAGCTGGCAGAGAATTGCCTGAATTAGTCCTGGTGCACGATCATCTTCAGCATCTGTAAGGCCATAGGCCCCTGGTCGGATGGGATCTAGAACAGCAAAGAACAAATGATCACTCACAGCTGGAAAGGGAAACAGCTGCAAATAATCTCCAGTTTCTCAAACGCCATCTTTAGATTATGAACTTCAGGTTGACCTGGTGTTTCCATTGTTGGAGTTTCAGTATCATTTCTGGGAGAGGAACTGACCGTGAGATCAGACGGCCTGGTCCTCTCAGCTGTTGTGTCTCCATACAAATTGAGTCGTTTCATGACTTTGCACAGATGTTAGCCTATCGGGACTGCTTCGGCCGTGAGTGATGTCACCGATCAGTGCCAAAAAGCATCCACAGTAACAATAAAAAATTTATTCTGTCAAAGTATAGCAATTGAATCCATTCGGAGGACTGGGACGGCTGCTGTGTGACGTAAAATGTGGCGTTTAATGACCAGAAGCACCAACTGTTACGGTGCTCTGAGAGATGACGAAGCCCCGTGTTTATGTCGTTGTGCGGGATTTCTGCTTCGTTCATCGATGCTGGGGGTTTAGTAATAGGGGTTTTAAAGCGGCATGAACGGCGCTTCACCAGCTACTCATAATTTTACTAATGCTGATTGTTTAGGACGTCTGCTGATGTCATTTCCTACTGAGTTACACCCAATCAGTTCGAGTTAACCAAAAGTTTCCCTCAGCTACCCTCCTGGGTCTTTACAAGTACCTACTTCTGTCCGGGTACTCTGTTGGTTCCTGGAAAAGTCCCGTTCAGCCGGCCCGGTGAAATAGACACGTGCGTGCCGAGAAGTTCTGGTAAAATTACCCTGAAGTTCTGGTAGTGTAAACTTTGAAGTCTACCTTGTAAAGTTTGGTGTAGACCAACCGTAAACCTTCAGGGTTCTAATCCTGACATTTCACTTATTATTTACTAGACATTAAAGCAGCTGAGCATAGCCCAGATAGGGTGGTACCATGTGACCAGCTTTGAGGATCCAGTAGAAGGCAAAGTTCTTGTAAGTCTTGTAAAAAGCTCCAGTAATGCCTGGGGAGACGGGGTCATCCAGGGGGGTCCACCTCAGCTTGTTGAAGCTAGGAATCCCTTCCCACTTCAGCTGTTTCACCCACATCTCCTGACCTGCAACAGCAAACAGAGCTCAGGGCGGAAATGCCTAGAAGCTTCAGCAGCAGGGCTCATGTTGGTTACTCACCCATGGTGTCCACTATGAGATCCAGTTGGCCATTGTAAACCGTCACATTGACTCCAGCTGTCAACAGCTGGTCGACTACATCCACCACCGGCTTCATGAAGTCTCCAGCCATTTTGCTGAATACTTCTTCTGCCTGACCTGAACAAAGCAGACAAAGGTCAACCACAGGAAGTGTTACGGAGCAACCTACGACGGGAAATCTGGCTAAACGGTTCACTCGGAATGAAGCACCTCCCCATGTGACATTCTGAGGGATGATGGCCAGTTTCTTCCTCACTGATCCATTCATCAGCTCGCTCAGTGATTGGCTGTGGAGGGGGTAGATGTGGCGACGTGCCAGCAGAGCTGATTGAAAGAAGATAATCACACTGGTTAAAGGTTGAGATCTCAGTTATGCTGATGAGGGTTTGAATTCATTTTATGAAACCAAACCCAGAATTTCATTTGGCTGCTGGGTAACAAGAGTCCTACAGATGAAGCTTTCTCCTTCCGAAGAGCCGAGTTTCCCATCTTCTTCCTGCTTGAGTATGTTATAGAAGTTGACTCCATTGGTGTTCTGGAAGGGAAGTAGTTGGTTTGCCGATGTGAACCAGAACATTTTTCCTGCCATAGAATTCCTACCAGGTTCTGGTACCAACCTGCTCCACCACCGACTCTGTCACAGACCACAGCTCAGTGGCTTTAAGGAAGTCCTGCTTCGCCACAGCTTGCTTCACCTGCTGTGCTGCATTGTTGACATCGGCCAGGCCATAGTCATCCAACAGAGACTGCACACGGAAAATCGCATGAAGGCCCTACATAACATCTCAGAGCCTGAATCAGTAGCAGCACTTCTGTGTTACTTACTGTGGTGTAGAGATATGGTCCCCAAGTCATCACGGAGTCTGAGAACGAAACACAAGTCTCAGTGAGGAGCTATTTACAACACAGGCATCAAGCTAATCCTAAAACATTCCCACAATCCTCTGGATTTGCTACTCCTTTGCTTCTAGCTGGACCATTGGCTTTAAACACTGTTAACCAAAAAGTTCCAATCTCCAAATTGGAGCTCGGTGGTGTCAAAGGAACAGGAACTGGCTTCTTCCTCATTCACTCATCAAGTTCCACAAAGAAATGCTCTTGTTTCCTTTTCTTTCTACATTCCTCTCTTCATTTTTACACTGAGTCTATCTTTGGTTCCAGGGCAATCGTTCTCTTTCACTGAAAACGCAGTCTGGCTGTCTCCGTGTATTTGTATGGCGCCTTCTTAAGGTTCTATAACCCCCCCAAGGCGCTTCACCACACAATCAGTCATTCTCCCATTCACACATTCACATGCTGGTGGGGATGAGCTACCGTGTAGCTACAGCTGCTCTGGGGCGCACTGACAGGGGCGAGGCGTGCTGAACAAAGGCGCCACCGGTCTCTTCGACCACCACCAGCTGGCAAGGCGGGTTAAGCGTCTTGCCCAAGGACACAAAAGAAGAATTCTCTGGTCGGAGCCGGGATCAAACCTGCAACCTTCGGACTAGTGGACAACCCGCTCTACCTTCTGAGCTTCTGCTGTCCCATAATAATAAAACAAAATGTCATCTTTGGACCCACCCACTGGTTGCTTAATGCTCCTCCTACAGATCTGGCTAACCTGGAACCGTTTGTAACACATTTATTACAGATCTGGGTACCCTGGAACTGTTTGTAACACATTTATTACAGATCTGGGTACCCTGGAACCGTTTGTAACACATTTATTACAGATCTGGGTAACCTGGAACTGTTTGTAACACATTTATTACAGATCTGGGTACCCTGGAACCGTTTGTAACACATTTATTACAGATCTGGGTAACCTGGAACTGTTTGTAACACATTTATTACAGATCTGGGTACCCTGGAACCGTTTGTAACACATTTATTACAGATCTGGGTAACCTGGAACTGTTTGTAACACATTTATTACAGATCTGGGTACCCTGGAACCGTTTGTAACACATTTATTACAGATCTGGGTACCCTGGAACCGTTTGTAACACATTTATTACAGATCTGGGTAACCTGGAACCGTTTGTAACACATTTATTACAGATCTGGGTACCCTGGAACCGTTTGTAACACATTTATTACAGATCTGGGTAACCTGGAACCGTTTGTAACACATTTATTACAGATCTGGGTAGCCTGGAACCGTTTGTAACACATTTATTACAGATCTGGTGGTTTAATTGGATTAAGTTTTAAACTTTTGAGGAACCAATTAGTTTTTTTTAAACAGATTATTTCATCCAAAGTGAAATCGTTTTTATTTTTAAGGACTTTAAACGGGAATCCATGTTTTTATTACTTCCCACCTGGATTACACTAACTGGCTGTACATTGGTGTCAGCTCTTACCACTACAGTTGCTTCAGAATACAAAGGAGCCATATTATTGATCAACTGGCCGCCTCTTCTGACGTTTACCTCAATTTCAAAAGTCTTCTTTGCTATTTAATCTAAACACCAACAGCATTTGTACCATTTCTTGGGTCGTTCTAACATTTGTGATTTCAAGTTCAGACATTTCTTAAAGTACATTTTAAATGAGGAATCTGCCTCCAGCTCAGTCAGTCATTTTGGTTAGGTTGGTTAGATAAATGGCAGCACGTGATCTAGAGGAAATGGTGATCTGAAACTGACAGGAACCTGATTAACGTGTTTACTAAGTTGTGTGTTTGTGCTCTACAGCAGTCCAGTGAGACCATTGTAGATAAGAACCATCAGCTGAGCTCCAGGTCCAAAGACTGGCTGATACTGACCAAGTGGGGAAATCCATGAGTCTCCAAGTGCTACACCAGCAAAGTTGCACTTCACTGACCCTTTGGCTATGGCCTAAGATCACAAGAGACAGATTGTTTTAGGATATGTTGGTTGATTCTTTGTTCCCATGTAGAAGTTGTTTGTTATGAAATTCTTAAACACGTTGAAACACAAATATGTTTTCTTTCTAACCCAGAGCTCCAGGCTTAGGGTTACCTTTGTGAGCTCCAAAGAAATGGCAGCTGCCATCTTTCCTCCATATGACTCAGAGAAGATGTAGAAGGGGACGCTCTGCAAAAATAAATGTGTCAGTACTTATGGCTGGCACTGGAGAGAAGAACTCGTGTGGAAAACTTTCGGGAGAATACACACGCATGCGTGCACACACAGATACATGGACCTAACGTGCAGCCCTTTTGAGTTATTCTGTCTGTAACACAACCGTAGCAACGCCCAGAAACCTTTTATCTCTGTGTAGTTTTAAAGTGAGACAAACCTGGAAGTCAGACTTCAGTGTAAAGAAGTGGCGGAGCAGCACCAGCATGTCTGAGGCTACCGTGGCCACATCTGTGGCGAAGCCGTCCGGCCTTTCAGCGTAGCTGAAGCCAGTTCCTACAGGGTTGTCTACAAACAACAAGCTGGCTGTCTGGACCTGGGGAGGAAACAATTCAAACACAAAAAATCACTTACAGTAAGTTTTCAAATCACAGAAGAAACTGACTTTAACCCCATTGTAACAGAAATAATATCCGTTCCTCTAGTTGACCACGACTATGGGTCCATTTAGAGTAGCTAACACACATTACAGCCGACCACCTTCAAACTAACCAAAACACCTTGTGTTGTACTTGATGTCCATTTAGTTAGAGTGTGAATGAGTGAAATGACTAAATGAGCAAAGGAAACCATCTTACCCAGCTTGTCTTCCTGGGCTGCAGATCTCTGTTCAGTGGTCCGATCTCTTCAAAGTTCCCAAAGCCAGTTCCTGATCCTCCTGGCCCCCCCTAAAGTCGAGACATAAGAAGGATCCTGCAGCTTCCATATTCACAAGCCTCGTACGGTTTCTACACAGGTTGTGAGGGGTGCAAACCAATTCTCATTTATCTGACCAAAGATGGCTGGCAGTTGGTGACTACACTTCAAGAGACAATGTGAAGTTTTTACCGTTAATCTGGAAATATCCACTGAAATGTTGATGAAAATGAACTAAATCATACCTGGTCGTTAAAAAGTATTTGTGGTTTTGTAACATATAACCATAAAAATCTGGTCTAAAATACATGGGAGGGGGTCTGAGGCCCAATCCCAAAACCCACACTTGGCCAGGGGTGCGAGTGCGTAGGGTGCCCCAATTCTCAAGTGCGGAAGTTGATCTTGCCCCTTATGCACCCTTGATCCGCACTTCACCCAAGTCTGCATCGATGCAGACTTGGGTGAAGGTTATTACCCACAATCCATGACACAATGCTCTCTGTCCCAGTTTGGCAATTATTTGTACACTTGTGTACCACACACTCAGCCTTCCTACAAGTGCGCTTTGCTGAAGACCGTAGGGTGCAGGGCGAGTGTTGGGATTGGGCCCAAGTCTCTGATTAACACCATGTTTCCTCCTACAGGAGCCAGTGAGGACAAAACGCATTTACTGATTTGTAACAAGCGGTCGCAAAACGTTCGCCAGTCGTAAACATTGTTGTTTTACACGTTTATCTCTTAGCTTGTTGCCAGTGAGACGTGCTTGTCCTTTTGCTGGAGGTTGTGCTTTCAGGGATTTTTGACCCCAATGGCCATCCGTTGGTAAGGTCTTACTCAAACACAAAAATACCGCTTGCTTGCAATGATTTAGGTATGTAGTGCCACTCTATTACCAGTGTATTGTCATGTGTCTTGCCCATGTATGTCTGATCTCTGAATTGTGTGTACTGAAACTCTAATTTCCCTCTGGGATTAATAAAGTATCTTTGATTTGATTAAAACACATGCCACTTTAAATTATTCACCCTAGCTTTTTTTTCAAGAACAGATGTGATGATTCAGCAGAAATACAGCAGACGAGTGGAAACAACCCAGGCTCCTGTTTTTACCAAATCACAAAAACCTCCCAGTTTCAGGGAAACGATTAACTACCCACCTTCAGAGAGACGGGTAGTTCCTCTTAGTCAGCAACAAATAGAAACAGCATTAGTGTTACTCAGCCAGTCACACTTGTCAGTTTAATACAACTGGTTCTTTAGAGTCTGAGATGTTTTTCCCTTTTTGCTTGAAATGTTCTCCACATACTGATGGCAACCAGTTAATTAAAGGTTTTGTCAAAATAAAATGAATTCATTTAGAAATGTTCAATAAACCCTCCTCCAGCCATTGTGAATGTCCTGTTCTTATCTGGACCTAAATGTTGTTTAGAATTGAGCGAACTGACTAAACACATGACACAGACGTTTTCCTCTAAGAAAACAAAAACAAAGTACAATCCAGGACCCCCTGCAGGAGTAAGCAGAAGACATCCAGGAGCTCCTCTTTACCTGCAGCCACATAACCAGGGGCAGATCCTTATACTGAGCAGCCTGGCTCTCAGCATAATAAAGCCACCAGAACATGTGGGCTCCGGGTCTCACTTCCACATAGTCCCATGCTTCTGTGCAGCCTGGCGGTTCAGAGAGTCCTGCAGCGTGAACAAAAACCCTCCTTACAACCATGCCATTAAAAACTAGGCTGCGCTTTCGTTTTGCACTCAGCAGAAGAAAAAGAGAAAAATGATAAACACACATCAAAGTATTTAAAGAGCGTTAAATACAAACCAGAAACAGAGCCCTTGTAAATGATACTAGACAGAATAACGGACAAAAGCAGAGCCATCGTTGAAGACACCCGTCTGAACCGAAAACTGATGAGAATGTCACATGACTCCTCCCAGGATCAGCTGACCGGAAAAGACTGTTTGTTCTAAGAAACAACGACAAAAGAAAACAGTCAAAACGGCTTAAATGAATGCTTTCAAGTACATAACATAAATATTAATTCTTCTTTTGTGAATCGGTGTTTGTAATAGAAGAAGATTGGTCTCCAGGCCAGTAGGGAGCAGTGTTTACAAAATTATTTTCGTCTTATTTTGAAAATTCCAAAAGGAAGTGGGCACACATCCGCTTTCTGTTCAGCCATGGCTTCTCCTGACAGACTTATCCGGCTCCGCTTGTTCTTTGACTACCCTCCGCCGGCTGTGGTCGGTTGCCGGATGTGCTGGCTGCTTGTGGACCTGAAGGCGTGCCGCGTGGTGGCGGACCTGGAGAGCCTCATCCGGCAGAAGTTTGAGTTCAGCCGCGGGAGCATCCTGAGCCTGTTCGTGGAGGACTGCTACCTGCCTCACACCGAGAGCATCTTCGTGGTGCGGGACAATGACAGTGTCAGGTGCGAGTGTTCTGGTCTCGGGGCCACGATTAGAAAAAGACGGCAAAAGTTTGACCTACTGACTCTGCCGAAGGAGCCAGTCTGTACAGGTCATGCTGGGAGGGAGTTGAAGGCACCACTTGTGTCAAGCCAGCCTCCAGATGGAGACTTGCAGTCAAGCCAGCCTCCAGTTTATTGTCGGTTTCCCGTCTATTCAAAGTATTACGGGAAGGGATGTGGAAACCGGATTTCAAAATAAAAGTCAACTTCTAGTGAATTAACAGATATTTTAAGAACATTGTAACATATAATTTAGGCTTGTTCACGATTAGCAGCCTGTCAATATCAAGGCCATTTTATTTTGGATTTCAAAGTAAAAGCCCTGTGAATTTTCAACTCAGTCTGATGTTGCCTTCCATAATAAAGGCCTTTTTAAATTGCCCATATACGACCAAACTTTCAGTGATTTCAAAATGCTCTAAAATGGAAAATTGCTGTTTCCACAGGGTAATTCCACTTTTGATCAAAAGTATACAACCCCACAGTGATACCTTATCAATATCAAGTCATTCTGATGTTGCCTTCCAAAATAAAGGCCTTCCAAATTGTCCATAATTGACCTACCTTTAACGATTTCAAAATGCTCTAAAATGGAAAATCACTGTTCCCACAGGGTAATTCCACTTTAGATCAACAGTATACAACCCCACAGTGATACCATATCAATATCAAGTCATTCTGATGTTGCTTTCCAATATAAAGGCCTTTTTAAATTGTCCACAATTGACCTAACTTTCAGTGATTTCAAAATGCTCTAAAATGGAAAATTGCTGTTTCCACAGGGTAATTCCACTTTAGATCAACAGTATACAACCCCACAGGGAAACTATATCATTATCAAGTTGGTGCCTCAATGTCTCCTGGCAGCCCTTCTTTCTTGGGCTTGGGTCAGTCTGTTGGTGGCTATCGACTGCTGGGGTGTGCGTGGACTCTGGTGCTGGTGGGACCTGGGCTGTCTTGGGGGCCAGTGATCTCACATTGCCCATTATGATCGATGGAAGAGATGGTTTGAATTTCTGCTTTCTCTGTCTCCGTTTTGCTCCCGCTCTGCACCCACGCTTCTTGCGTTTTAGCTCATTTGGGATTTGTGGCTTCAGATGAGGTATTATTTCAGCCTTTCCAATGTTAATCAGCTGCTCCCGATTGTAAACCAGCTTGTTGCCATGGTTACGCATCATAACAAATGCTCAAAAAGTGAAAAAAGCTAAAAAAAAAAAATAGCGGTAAAAATCCTCCAGGCTTCACAGCACCAGAAACAGAAAAGTAAAATGTCCAAAAAATACAATTTTTCTTGAGAAACTAGAAGGAAAAAATGTCCAAGAAAAGGCAAAATTTACATATAGTCAACAGAGCTACTCCAACATGCAGCCGCCCAGAGCAGCGCAGTTCCGGAAAACAAATCAACACTCTTGGTGACAAATCCATATATAGACACCCAGAACACAGTGATTCACACAAACACAGCTTAGACTTGCACACATACGTAACCACACACACACAAACATATTCTATAAGATATAGGTTCAAACACTTAAAGCACTGTTCACTTCCATCCATTTGTTACTCAGTCGGGGACCCATGAGCCAGCTGGAAGAGGAGGAGGCTCCTAGTGTTTTGTTGCTAATAGAATGTCTGACTCATGACTGAAAGATATTTGTGTTTGCCAGGGTGAAGGTGGACTGTCCATATCAGGTGAATGGACTCAGCAGCTGTTCCATTACAAGTGAGAGCTGCAGGAAGAGACAGAGAGACTTGGTAGAAGCTGAACTGGAAGAGGAAATTCTGCCTGCTAAATGCAAAAGAAAGAAGAAGAAGAAAAGGTCCAAGACAGACACATCAGAGGTGGCCGATTTTTCTGGGACTGTCGACAAGAATTCTCAAGACAAGAAACGCCTAGAAGAGAAGACGGCTAAAAAGAAAGCAGCTAAGCGGCAGGCTGCCCTGAAACCAGCTGAATCTCAGCGCAAAAGGCCAGATTGTGTCGATGTAGCACAAAAGAGCATCAACAAGGTCCCAGGATCACAAGTAGGGAAACCAAATGACCCCTTGTCTGATTCCACTAGTAAGAAGAAAAAACACCGTAAAAGCAAGTCATCGGCTTCAAACCCCAAACCAGCCCCCACCAAAACCCAGCCTCCATTGTCATCCTCTTTAGAAATGGACTCCTGTTTAGATAAGGCTAGCACTGTCAAACTACCACCAAAATCTAGACCTCTAGCATCCCCTGCCACCACACATCCTGCACAACCCAATAACTGTTCTCAGAAACACCCTGCCAGTATAGCTGAGGCTTCCTGTGACAAGTTGCTGGAGCCTTCCAACCAAGATGGTGAAGAGGACATTCAGCTGGTTATCAAACGTCCACAGCAACTTGCCCAAAGCGTGGCCAGTCACAGCCACTGGCAAGGCCCCGCGAGGACGTTAGACCAGCCCCGGGCTGACCCAGGAGAGGGAGGTAGAGTTGAAGGCAACAAGACTGATACACAGATGGATTCTGTCACCAACATGTCTGCACTGGTTCAGGTTAGTCTCAGCATTTGTCCTGTGTGTTTGTCTGTCTGAGAAGGAAGTTGCTGTTAACGAGGATCCATTTCAAGGTTGTTATTTTATTCAGCGAGGTTGTTTTCTGGTGTAGTCCCTGATTTTTGTGCAGGACTAAGAGGCTGTCGGATTTTGTTTTTGTGCAAAAGCATCAAACTGTCGAAGAATCACCTTCTCAGTGGCCTAGTGGTAGAGTGTCCGCCCTGGGACCGCGAGATCGGGGTTCAAATCCCGGTAGGGTCATACCAAAGACTTGGACCCAGAGCCTCCCTGCTGGACACTCGGCTCTAAGGGGTGGGATTGAGGGGTTAAACCCCCAAATAGTTCCCGAGCGTAGCTACCGCTCCCCGGGGATGGGTCAGATGCAGAGAAGAATTTCACCAGCGAGTGACGACTAATGGGAGTTAGGGTAACACTTTAGTGTAGGGAACACGAATTAATCATTATCTGCCAATTAATATGCATATTAATGGACTACTAAGTCTGAACCAGTCATTATTGAGCACTTATTAAGCACTTATTACTAATGCCGTAATTCTAACATTAACAGGTCATAAATTAGGAGTTTTATCAAAATAAGCCATTCATAATGGTTTGTTGCTGAATAAAGCACATCCTAATTAGCTCATGTCAATATGTGGCTTTTAACGAAGTAATTCAAGGGGAACATATTCTTGCCTTTAAGTGGTTAATTAATACTAAACTACTAGTAATTAGGTATGAACAACATCTGACTTTAGAATGGGGAACATATTCTTGCTTACAAGTGGTTAATAGATTGTTGTTTAGGCTCTATTAACATGTGGAGTTTGGTGTTTATTTACATAATACCAGAACATCATATTTTTGGTTATTAATGCAGAATAATTATTCCCCTTGAATTACTTCGTTTAAAGCCGCATATTGATTTGAGCTAATTAGCATGTGCGTTAATCAGCAATAAACCATTATGAATGGCTTATTTTGATAAAACTCTTAATTTATGACCTGTTAATGTTAGAATTACGGCATTAGTAATAATAGCTTAATAATGACTAGTTCAGACATGGTAGTCCACTAATATGCATATTAATTGGCAGCTAATTCATGGTGAATTTGCGTTCCCTAAACTAAAGTGTTATCGGAGTTAGACTTTATAAAATGTTTGTTTTTCTGAGAAGAAAAGGAACAAATGCATGTTGTGTCGGTCACAAGGGGGAGACAGATTGTTAGGTTGGCAGGAACATTTTAGCAAAGTAATGAAAAAAAAGGAAATCTGAGTTTGTTTGTACTCATTTGTTGCTGGAGATCGTTTCTTCTGTCCTAAAAAGTACAAGAAGCTGTTTGAACCTTTAAGTTGAAGGAGAAAAAAACAGATTGTGCTTTGTTGTTGGTAACTTTGTAGCTTCTAGATTGATTGCCTGTATTTGTGAAGCGAAGCCTTGGAGATGACAGTTGGGGTTGTGTAAATGTTCGTCTCCTATGCACAGCAAGGGGAATGGAACGCTGAGGCTGGATTATGAAGTTGGCTGGTCTGTCGCTGCTCTAGTGGACCAGCACTGAGTAGTCTCACCTCTGATGCGACCGCTGTTGTTGCTGGCTGTTAGGAAAGACTCATTTTCTACACTACCTGCTGTTTTCTTTTAGAATGGAGAGAGCGTTCTTAAGGACTACAGCCCCATGCCCCTGCTAGCTGCCCCTCCACAGGTGGGGCAGAAGATTGCCTTCAAGGTACGTTAACTCCTCTACTATGAAACCGATTCAGCTGATTCATCTCTCGGTGAACCCTTTAAGTATTTCTGAGCCCGTTCATGTAAATGGATGGTTTCATGAAAGAACTGCTCTCATTGGTGCAACTCTTCAACTTGGTGGGGGTTAAAGGTCTCATTCACTGAGGAACCGTGTTCTTTTTGAAATGCCATCAGCAGTTGAGTGTCAAAGTGGTGATGAGGGAAAGTGGTGGTGTCCAGAAGAGGTGGCGGGAGAGTCCTATCCAAGTTGTTCAACAAGATCTTAGCGAGAGAGAGAGGATTCTTGTGGATTTGAGAAAAAGGTATTCTGGTGCAGATTTTTAAGAGCAAGTATAGAACTTTGCCAACTAGAGAGGAATAAAGCTGACGAGTCATGCTGTACATCTCCGAGAAAGAGAGGTGGAATTTGTGAGCAGAAGTACGCTTTTATGCCAGGAAAGAGTGCTATTATAGATGCTATTTGGCTTTATGGATGCTGATGGAGAAGAACAGAAGGCCAGAAGGAGATTCCCATCTGCACCGGGTCGGCCCGGGCCGGGTAGCCCCAGTCGGCCCCAGCCTGGCCCGGTTGATTCCACACATCCTTGTCTTAAGCCCATGAGGGCTGATTCTACCCACCAATCAGAGGCTTGCTCTAATGGAAGGTGTGAATTTGCTGTCAGCAGTGGGTGTGTTGGCCCTGGTCGGCCTGAAGCAGACCCCCTCCAGAAGAGGGCTGAGAATGAGCCTTGGTTGGCCCGGAAAAATACCAGGCCACCCAGATATGTAAGCAACCTACGCTACCCGGCCCGGGCCGACCCGGTACAGATGGGAATGGCCCATTAGAGAAAGTTTGTGGACCGCGCTGATAGAGGAGCTGTGGGGCAGGATGAGGTCTGGAGTGGCAGAGAAGTACAGTGCTCAGCATAAATGAGTACACCCCCTTTAAAAAGTGTGAATTTAATCAGCAGCTCCATGAACACGATTAATTTCCAGACTTTTCACAAGGCTGGGTTTTCATGAACATGTGTTTAACTCATAACATGAAATTAAGGTTAATAATAGAACTTAGATCACAAAATCTTCAGTTTTGCTAAAATTGGTTGAAGCAAAAATGAAAACCACCAACAAAAACTACTACATCTAGTATTTTGTATGACCACCATGATTTTCAGGGAAAGCACCAAGTCTTCTAGGCATGGGATGAACAAGATGGTGACATATTACATCATCTATCTTTTTCCATTCTTCAAGAAGAGCCTCTTTTAGAGCCTGGATGCTGGATGGAGAGTGATGCTCAACTTGCTGCTTCAGAATTCCCCACAGGCGTTGGACTGGGTTCAGATCAGGAGACATATTTGGTCATTTGATCACCTTCACCCTGTTCTTCTGCAGAAATGCAGCAGCAGCTTTAGATGTGTGTTTTGGATCATTGTCGTGTTGGAAAAGTACACGACAACCAAGTGATGGCAGCATCTCCTCCCTCAGTAAAGAGCAGGACATTGTTGAGTTCATGACACCATCAATGAAATGCAGCTCCCCAACACCAGCAGCACTCATGCAGCCCACATAAGGACACCGCCACCACCATGCTTCACTGTAGGATCCATACATTTTTCTTTGAAATCCTCACCTTTACAACGCCATACAGTTTTGCAACCATTAGTTCCAAAAACAATGATCTTTGTCTCATCACTCCAGAGTCTAGAGTCCCAGTAGTCTTCGTCTCTTCCAGCATGGGCCGTGGCAAATCCTAGGTGTGCTTAATTGTGCGTGGGCTTTAGGAGAGGCTTCCTTCGTGGACGATACCCGTGCATGCCATTCCTCTGCAGTGTGCGCCGTATGGTGTCATGGGAAACAATCACTCAGTTCGGCTTTCTACAGCTTTAGCTAACTGCAGTGAACTTGCATTGTGATTTTCTTCAACCCTTCTCATCAGAAGATGCTCCTGTCGAGATGTTTACTTCCATGGACGACCTGGACGTCTCTGTAAGATGGTTGCACGTCCATTTTTCATAAATTTCTTGATCACTTTTGCTACAGTATTTTGACTGATTTGTAAAGCTTTGCTGATCTTCTTGTTGCCCTCACCGTTTTGTGTAGAGAAATGTTTTCCTTTCTCAGATATTTTGACATTTCTCTTCCATGTGGAGCCGTTGCTGACAGCATCAAATGGGAAGGGCTTTTCTTTAAGTAATGCCCTGTTATAGTCCCGTCTGCTGGACACCTCTTAAATGGGACAAAGAATGCAGTTTATCAGCAATCTAAAACTCTGCTTTGAGTCTCTTAAGAAGCGTAAGCAATATTCTTTTGGCTTCCATCTGTCCCAGGAGCCCTGATACAGGCCAGTCTAGACCCCCTAAAGCCTGGGGCACACCGGAGGCGGACGCGCTTCGTAGAAAGTCGAGCGATAGTCACAACATCACGCGGGACTTGAGAACAGAAAACGGGAAGCGACTCTATTGTTTATTCGTGATCAGACTTACCATCGTGTTTAGTGAGACTCAGATGTAGTAAAAATGGGTAAGTACGCTATTATTAGAATATTTTAGGATCAATAGTACTTTAAATTTATCAAAACTGCGGTTGGGTAAAGCCTGAGTCATGCTTCTGCGTCAGTGCGGAGACACGCAACGCCATTATCCGTCCTTGTGAGCCTGCTGGAGAGCCTCGCAAGGATGGACGGAGTCGAGCTCTCTTTTATAAACATCCGTCCGTCGAGACGGAGAACGCAAGCTTGTGATTGGTCAGGGCACCGCTGTCGTCTACACCGCCGCCATTGCGCCCTCAAAAACAAAGAGAACCGAGAATAACTAGCGGCAGACACGGAGAATCTTGAAGAATACTTGGCGAAAAAACTCTAAAAATATGAACGTGTAATTCCCCCGTGACTGGAGGAGTGAAAAGATACGCACCAAGCGTTTTATTTGTGGACGGAAATGACAGGAAACGTGGGTTTAGAGGTGGCGAGCGCATGAAGAGGTGGAGGAGAATGAGAGACAAATTTGTCTGTGTTAAAAAGTCTCTTATATACAAAAAACAATATAAACACACTATCTTGGACCGATACATGACAGGATACCACAGAACAGCGCTACGCCCTCTACTGTCCTGGTGGGGAATTGCTTTGCAACACTCCCCAGGAGACGGAGAAGTACGAGGGCAAAATGTCTCCGTCCGTGCGTGTCTCTCCCTTTTGGAGCTGATGGAGAAGTATAAATCCAGCTTTAGTGCCGGCGGTTGGGTTTGTGTCGTAAAGCCGTTCCGGGTCGTAGCGCTGTTGTAAAGTACTCCACGACGTCGTAAACAGCTGTGCGGCGCGGCCCGCTGTCATTAACTATAATGGCTTCTGTTTAAAATGGTGGCGTGGCGCGTCTGCCTCCGGTGTTGTTTTAATTTTTTTATTTTTTTTAGAAAAGATAACATACAAACAAAATGCACCTTACATTACATATTCAGAGAATAATCATTCCTTACATATTAAACACTTTCATGTATAGGAAAAAAAAGAAAATCTAAAGATGGAGTCACATAATTAACAGATTATTAACTTACTAACTCAAAATCTTCTACAGAGGAAATAAAAAAGTCAGCCTTTTTCTTTTTAACTAAAATCAAAGATTTAACCAATGATTTTGTCATTTTTCCAATAAGCTAGTGTTTGTTTGGTCTTAAAAAAGCGACATTTATGTATAAATTGTTTGCACAAAATTAATAACACATTAACACCATAATTAACTTTCTTTTCTTTCAAAAACACTCCAAACATGAACATATTTAAGGTAAATGGGGTAATTTGAATCCCACTGGAACAAAGCCAGGCATGAAAATCCAATCAAAATATTTGTATAAAATTGCACAAAAAAAATAGATGGTCTAGGTCCTCCTCTTCTGTTTCACAATATACACAATTACCAGCTTCTATACTGAATCTATCCCCAAGGAGTCTATTTGTTGGGTAAATTTTATTCAAAATTTTAAATTGGACTTCTTTCCCTTTAGGAGGGATAGGGAAGGTGATATATGTTTATGTTTATGTTTATGTGCTTAGCAGACGCTTTTACCCAAAGCGACTTACAATTATTTTTTAACCTATAGGGCATGTTGTGATCTGTGGGGGAAACCGGAGTACCCGGAGAAAACCCACGCATGCATGGGGAGAACACGCAACTGCCCGCAGAAAGGCGAGTTTTGAACCTGCGACCTTCGTGCTGCGAGGCAACAGTGCTCCATGCAACCACTGCGCCACCATGCAGCCTATATGATATAATCACTTCTTATTTTTTCAATTTCTTCCCTTTGTAAATCTTTTAATATGTAGTTACGTCTAAGTAAATTTGGAGAATAGACTCCTTAATGAAGATCTTAGAAACTTAATATTGCATTTAACATCACAAAATCGAATATCATCTATGTATAGTTGTCTTAACCTGGGGAGATGTCAGAATATATTATATTATTTACAACTATGTTTTTAAGTGACAGTGGAATGGATTTTATAACCCGATTAAATTTATGTTTAGAACATTGGATATTAAACTTTTGGCAAAAATCTTGATGTTCTAGAACATGTCCTTCTTTATCACGTCTGCCTCCGGTGTGCCCCAGGCTTAAATCAGCCTTGCTGTGAATAGAGCCGTTTACCCCTCCCATTTGGCCAGGGCATGGATATGCTAATGAGCTGCTTGTTGATTGGTTGGTTGTTTTAAACCAGACGGCCTCAGACTATGGAGACTGTAGACTGGATGGGGAAGGGCTCCACATGGTGACGTTTTTATGAGGTTTCTCAGAAAAGAAGTTCTTCTCAGGCATTTTAAACTTTCTAATTCACATAAAAAGTAGTTAACACACGACTTATACTTTTTGGCATGCTACTTTTATTCACAAACAAGAAAATGTTGGTTTAGAGTCTTTGTCCCCTTTAAATGAATCAATAGACTCACCTGTAGTTGAATGCCTGTTAATTTGAACTTTGTAGTCTTAAGTGTGGCTTTTCTCCTAAGATCATAATTAGGGTGTACTCATTTTTGCCACACAGGCTTGAATGAATTTGTTAGGAAACTCACTTTTTAGTTTGCAAATGAACAAATCTTGTTTGCAATCAGTGGCCGACATTTGTGGGAGTATTTTGAAGTTTGGTATCTCACAGAAAATGTTGGTTTTTAACAGAAAGGTTACGAAAGGTTTTCTGACAAATGTAGTGGGGTGTACTCATCTTTGCTGAGCGCTGTATGTTAGAGTGGTGCATGGTCTGCAGTCCCAAGCTATGGAGAGGGTGGAGACGAGGTGAAGAAGCATGTAAGGCAGGTTTGAAAATTTCAGGTTTGATAAAAGGGTTTTAGAAAAGGGGTGAAGCCTGCCATGTTGTCTGGCTACAGCAGTGGTTCTCCTCTGCTCCATGAAAAACACAGATGTGAATAATTCCAGTTGTGGTCTACTTACAGCTGCTGGAGTTAACAGAGAGCTACACACCAGAAATATCAGAGTATAAAGTGAGTGGAATCCTTTCTAAGATGTGGGCGCAGTATTTACCATAATAACTAAATAATTATTATTTTAGTTTAGTTAAATATTACATTCATAGATCTAACTTGTCTCGTTTCTATGTATCTTAGGAAGGAACGATTTTGAACTTTGACCCAATAACCAAACAGATAGAACTTGAACTTCTTTGTCCTTCTCAAGGTAGGAACCCACACAGGAGACTTACACACTTTAAAATGCTTACTTCAGTGCAATGATTTGTTAAAGGATTACCAATCAAAATGTGTCTTGGATTATATGTTCAATTCAGTAATAATTTGTTAATCTCAGAGGAAAATCAGATGCTGTACTTACTCATTATTGGATGTTCTCCAAAGACTCGTCATGCCTGAGTCTTGCTGTAAGGGTCTGTGTTACAGCAGACCAAGACTCAAAGCTGTTGTCGTATAGGGAAATGTGTCTGGCTGTACGGTAAGCAGCTTATTTCACTGCCCACTGAATGCCAAACCCATACATAGATGTTGGCACGACTCTTTTGGAGTTTAAGATTACTAGTCCCAATCACACAAACTAATACCTGGATGGAGTTTAAAGGTTCCATGTCATGCTAGTTTAAACCTTTGAGAGCAAAGGTAGGAACAGTCGTCGTCGTCTTCCTCTTATCCGGGTCTAGGTCGCGGGGGCAGCATCCCAACTAGGGAGCTCCAGACCATCCTCTCCCCGATCACCTCCACCTTCTCCTCCGGCAGGACCCCAAGGCGTTCCCGGACCAGATTGGAGATGTAACCTCTCCATGTCCTGGGTCAACCCGGGGGCCTCCTGCCGGCAGGACATGCCCAAAACACCTCCCAAGGGAGGCATCCTGGAGGCATCCTGACCAGATGCCCAAACCACCTCAACTGACTCCTTTCGATCCGGAGAAGCAGCGGTTCTACTCCGAGTCCCTCCCGAATGTCCGAGCTCCTCACTCTATCTCGACGGCGACGGTGGCACAGGAGTTAAGTGCTCGCCCCGTAATCGGAAGGTTGCAGGTTCGAGCCCCGCTCAGTCTGTCGCTGTCGTTGTGTCCTTGGGCAAGACACTTCACCCACATTGCCTGCTGGTGGTGGTCGGAGGGACCGGTGGCGCCACTGCTCGGCAACCTCGCCTCTGTCAGTGCGTCCCAGGGCAGCTGTGGCTACATCGTAGCTCATCCCCACCAGTGTGTGAATGTGTGTGTGAATGGGTGAATGACTGATAGTGTTGTAAAGCGCCTTGAGGGGTTCCATGACTCTAGAAGGCACTATATCAAATACAGGCCATTTACCATCTCTAAGGCTGAGCCCGGCCACCCTACGGAGGAAACTCATTTCGGCCGCTTGTATCCGCGATCTCGTTCTTTCGGTCATTACCCAAAGCTCATGACCATAGGTGAGGATTGGGACGTAGATCGACCGGTAAATCGAGAGCCTGGCTTTCTGGCTCAGCTCCCTCTTCACGACAGATCGGCTCAGCGTCTGCAGTGATGCGGACGCTGAGCCGATCCGCCTGTTGATCTCCCGATCCCTCCTACCCTCACTCGTGAACAAGACCCCGAGATACTTAAACTCCTCCACTTGAGGTAGGACCTCTCTCCTGACCCGGAGTTGGCAAGCCACCCTTTTCCGGTCGAGAACCATGGTCTCAGATTTGGAGGTGCTGATCCTCATCCCAGCCGCTTCACACTCGGCCGCGAACCTACCAACCAAGAGCTGAAGGTCAGAGCTGGATGAAGCTAGGAGGACCACGTCATCCGCAAAAAGCAGAGACAAGATTCTCCTGCCACCAAACTCGACACACTCCACACCACGGCTGCGCCTAGAAATTCTGTCCATAAAGGTAATGAACAGAACCGGTGACAAAGGGCAGCCCTGGCGGAGTCCAACCCTCACCGGGAACAGGTCCGACTTACTGCCGGCTATGTGGACCAAACTCACGCTCCTCTGGTAAAGGGACTGGATGGCCCTTAACAGAAAGCCACCCACCCCATACTCCTGGAGCGTCCCCCACAGGGTGCCCCTGGGGACACGGTCATAAGCCTTCTCCAAATCCACAAAACACATGTGGATTGGTTGGGCAAACTCCCATGCCCCCTCCATCACCCTTGCAAGGGTATAGAGCTGGTCCACAGTTCCAGGACCAGGACGAAAACCACATTGCTCCTCCTCAATCTGAGATTCAACTATCGATCGGACCCTCCTCTCCAGTACCTTGGAGTAGACCTTTCCAGGGAGGCTGAGGAGTGTGATCCCCCTATAGTTGGAACACACCCTCAGGTCACCCTTCTTAAAGATGGGGACCACCACCCTGGTCTGCCACTCCACAGGAACTGCCCCCGATGACCACGCAATGTTGCAGAGACGTGTCAGCCACGACAGCCCTACAACATCCATAGCCTTGAGATACCCAAGACGAATCTCATCCGCCCCCGGGGCTCTGCCGCTGTGTAGTTGTTTGACTACCTCAGCAACTTCTGCCCCCAAGATTGGACAGTCCATCCCCAGGTCTCCCGGCTCTGGTTCCTCCTCGGAATATGCATAGGTGGGACTGAGGAGCTCCTCAAAGTATTCCTTCCACCATCTGACTATAGCCCCAGTTGACGTCAGCAGCTCCCCATCCCCACTGTAAACAGTGTGAGCGAGTTGCTGCCTTCCTCCCCTGGGGCGCCGGACAATTTGCCAGAACCTCTTTGGAGTCGATCGATAGTCTTTCTCCATGGCCTCACCATACTCCACCCACGCCAAAGATTTTGCCTCGGCAATTGCCGCTGCTGCACCCCACTTGGCTATCCGGTACCTGTCTGCTTTCTCCGGAGACCCACAGACCAGCCACGCCCTGTAGGCCTCCTCCTTCAGCCTGGCGGCTCTCCGAATCTCTGGTGTCCACCAGCGGGTACGGGGGTTGCCACCACGACTGGCACCGGCCACCTTGCGACCACAGCTAGCAACAGCCGCCTCAACAATCGCAGAGTGGAACAAGGCCCACTCAGAGTCAATGTCCCCCACTGCTCTCAGGACGCGGTCAAAGCTCTGCCGGAGGTGGGAGTTGAAGACTGTCTTGACAGGTTCTTCTGCCAGGTGTTCCCAGCAGACCCTCACTATGCATCTGGGTCTGCCAGGTCTACGCAGCATCTTCCCCTGCCATCTGATCCAACTCACCACCAAGTGGTGATCATTTGACAGCTCCGCTCCTCTCTTCACTCGGGTGTCCAAAACCTATGGCCGCAGGTCAGATGATACGACTACAAAGTCTATCATCGACCTGCGACCTAGGCTGCCCTGGTACCAAGTGTACCGATGGGCATCCTTATGTTCGAACATGGAACATGGTGTTTGTTATGGCCAAACTGCGGCTTGCACAGAAGTCCAATAACGAACCATCACTCGGGTTCAGATCAGGCGGGCCATTCCACCCAATCACACCCCTCCAGGTCATGCTGTCATTGCCCATGTGACCATTGAAGTCCCTCAGCAGGACAATGGAGTCCCCTAATGGAGCACTATCTAGCACTTGTCCCAGGGACTCCAAAAAAGGGTGGGTACTCTGAACTGATTGACCCATAAGCAAAAACAACAGTCAGGACCCGTTCCCCGACCCGAAGGCGCAGGGAAGCTACCCTCTCGTCCCCCAGGGTAAACCCCAACACACAGGCAGAGAGTCTTGGGGCCAACAAAAAGCCATCTCCAGCCCTCCGCCTCTCACCTGGAGCAACTCCAGCAAAGGAGAGTGTCCAACCCCTCTCAAGGACTTGGGTTCCAAAGCCAATGCTATGCATCGAGGTGAGTCCGACTATATCTACCCTGTACCACTCAACCTGTGTCACAAGCTCCTGCTCCTTCCCCGCCAGAGAGGTGACGTTCCATGTCCCAAAAACCAGTTTCCTTGTCTGGGGATCGGACCGCCAAGGCTCCCGCCTTGGTCTGCCACCCAATCCTTACTGCACCGGACCCTTCATGTTCCTCCTGCGGGTGGTGGGTCCACAGTTGGATGAGCCCATGTATCTGGTTTGGGCTGGGCCCCATGGGCGAAAGCCCGGCCACCAGGCGCTCGCTCACGGGCCCCCAACCCCAGGCCTGGCTCCAGGGTGGGACCCCGGTAACCCTCCGGGCCGGGTACTCCGACTCTTGATTTTAAATCCATGAAAGATCCTCTGAACAATTGAGATGTCATTTATCTTGAATATGAGTTATTTTTGTCAGCCTGAATTTATACCCAGAAATAAAACGCTCAGTTTCAGTGAAACTCCGCTCTGGAAAACCGTGCCTACAGCGGCATCTTACGCAAGTTTGTTACTGTAGATGCTTTGGTGGTCCAGTGGTAAAGACCATCTCAGGTTGCCACGAGCTGAGGTGGGTTCAAATCCTGGTGTGGGCAATACATAATTTAGCCACCTGGAGCAGATTTCATGCTGTTATATTTGAGTTTTATGGATTATTTTCAGCAACATTTTTTGCGTCTCTAAACATTTTCTCTCTTTGTATTTGGTCGTTTCCAAGCAGCATCTTAGTTGATTTACTCGCCTCACCTCACATAGACTCACACTGGCTAAATAAACAAAGAAAGTAAATAAAACATTGTAGTCCTATTATTTTAAACAGTTTACCAATATAAGGTTGGAAACATCAAACAGACAAGTTCTGTTAAAAAGAAAAAAGTTACTTCTCACATGTGAACCTGCTAGGGATGTGAATTTCAGTGCAACTCACGATTTGAGGTGCTGATTCGATTCAGAATCGATTCTCGATTTAAATCGATTCACAATCAATATTATTACAGAGTGTCAGTTCCAGGATTAACTACTTGTTGTACAAGTTAGTTAAATCTATGGGACATTTTTCTTTGACTTTAAACTGTTCATGCTAAAAATAAAGCTAATTTATGAGGTAAAATAAAATTATTCTAAGACTGTAAACAGAAACAATCTTTTGACCAAAAGGCAACATTTATTTTTGCGTACCTTGTAAAATATAACAAATCTCTAGTTACCTAACAGTAGCTTTGAAAGGAATACGGTCAGATGCTTTTTAAGTATGTGTGGAAACAAGTTTAACGCTTGAGTCCTCAACCTGTTTAACAAAAGTGCCTCAGATTTCTTACAAAGGAAAATGTGTTCTCTCATTTCTCAATAACTTCAAATAAATACATGAGTAATCCTGAGTACTCACTTATCAACTTAGAAAATAAATATGAGAATATCTCAATGAGTATGGAAAAAATTACATTCAAGTGTCCTCTTATCAGCAGATTCAAACATAAATCATCCCAATTTATGGGACCACAAAAGTAAATGGAGTACTGACTATCCTTACAAAGATAAAAAAAAAAAACAGACAAAAGTGCATCTCAAACCTGTAACATGCCAAATATTTGAGTTCTTGGAATCGATTCTGAATCTCTATAAATAAATAATCCCGATTCAGACTTGAATTGATTTTTTTCAGCACCTCTAGAACCTGCCCAACAACCTAACCACTAAACTACCAAGTCTGTTACATGACACTAGTCGCCACATATCCAGGGGAGACGGGTTTCAGACCAGAGACTAGCTTCCAGGGGACGAGCAGGGCCTGATGTTGGGAGATGAAGTGACATATAACTTATACATTAGGCTGTTTCAGGAATTTCAAAATAAAGTTTAAAATTTGCAGCTGAAACAGCAAAATGCCTGGATGCAGCCTAAAAATGGTTCTGGGGAGTTTTCTCATGAGGAAACAACAATTACGTCCTAAAAAGCTACCAAAAGGGATTTTTCATGTAATGGTCCCTTCAAAACCCTCTGATCCTGGTCTGACTGGAGTCCTGACTTTGCTGCTATGGCTGCTGATTTGGTGCCTCGGGATGACGCCCCTGTGGCTTTGAGGGAAGCGACCACCAAATAAAGTCACACAAAGTTTTTGTTGTCAAATCGAGCACCAAAGACTAGTGTACATTTTATTAAAGGCATTCATTTTTAATCTGTTTTTATTTCTAGGTATGGACATGTTTTTATTCTAGGTGCTTTTAATGTCCATGTTTGTTGTGACTTAGCTTCAGGAGGCGACTGTCGCTCTTCATTCATCAGCCACATGCTTCCGCTTAAAATAAAAGAAGGTGATGCGGCGTTGAGCCCCTTGGGCTTCTGTGAAGGTTACAGAAGATGTGTTTTGGGTTTGCAGTGCCATCTATCCACAGTAGACATTGAGTATAGGAGAATCTGAATCCTTAATAAACGAGAGGGTGCTCGCTGCAGAACCACAAAGGCGGAGCTGCACCATAAGGTGGAGCTGCACCAGGGTCAGCCCCGCCCATTCACGCAAACTCAGCCTAGCCCACTGACTTCCGTTTTTGTTTTCCAACTTCATCGCAAACTAACCTGACCCACATGAATTATGGCTGTTACTACTTTACAAATGTTAATGCTCCAATTAAACAAGATAAATATAACTTGCTACATGACAAAGCCTGAATACATCTTGAAATGAAACGATTTCTTTTAGCAGATATCTGCCCACAGCCGCTCTAACAATAATGTGGGGCAACAGCATGAGTGACTGTCATATGTGCTCTGGTAGTCCAGTGGTAAGATCATCTGAAGCAAATTTTGCTTCCCCCTCAGCTGATGCTGGTTCGATTCTCGGTGAGGTCGGCATCAATCTATTTAGCCAGCTGAAACATTTAATTTGTTTATATTTTAGTTGTAATGTTTATTTTCAGCAAAATATTTATGTCTCTAAAAGTTCTTTGAATTTGGTCGTTCCTAAACAGCATTTTAGTTGAAACTCTGCTCACAAATGGACTCACACTGGCTAAATAAACGAATAAATAAATAAACACATTAGTCATTGTATTGTAAACGGTATACCAGTAAATTGTTGTAAACATAGTACTGGCAAGTGTAGCTAGAAATTAAGAAAAGGGGTTGTAATCTACCTAAGATTTCTGCCACTGGGAGTCGAACCTGCGCAAAACTATATGCCAACCTGCCTCCATAGCCTCTACCCCACCACATCTGATATGAAGTAAGTGGTGTTACATGTAATTGTCCTATCCAGTCTGTCTTTGGAGATGGGTTGTATGGTTTTTCGGCAGTGTCTCAGTAGAAGTCATTTCAGAAATAATTTGTCAGAAAATTCACAGAATATCCAGATTTGAGAACCAAGACCAGACCCACTTCAGGGGAGGAGACCAAATTGAAGCTGAGATGGGAGGAAAATGCATGAATGAGGCCAAAAATGGCTTTGGCGTGTTTCTTATGAGGAAATGACAATATAACATGATAAAAAAGTTCCAAAAGTTAGATTTTTAATTATATAGAACCTTTACAAAAACTGTTCAGTTAACTTCTCACCTCTGTCCTCAATCTTGTATTTTTTAGCTATAAAACCCTCTGGTTCCAGAATGCTATCAAGTCTGACAACTGGAAGGAATTGTACTGACTCTGATGGAATGGACGGGGCTGACTCTGGAATGGGTGGGGCTGACCCTGGTGCAGCTCCACCTTCTGGTGCAGCTCCACCTTCTGGTGCAGCTCCACCTTCTGGTGCAGCTCCACCTTCTGGTGCAGCTCCACCTTTGCGGTTCTGCAGCGAGCACCACTTGTAATAAACTGCTACTACTAAAAACTCTTATTTTACATGGTTAAAATTAACACTAATCCAGCTACATGTAATTTTATTCTATAGTTTGTTGATTTTATTTTCCTGTTGATTGAGTATTTTACCCAGACTTTCTGCTTTTGTGCTTATGTATTGATTTAATTTACTCTTGATTCTCCAGCTCCTCTAGAACCTGGCAAGTTTGACCTTGTCTATCAGAATCCAGATGGTTCAGAAAGAGTGGAGTATGCTGTACCCAGGGGATCTTGGGTAAGTGTGTGTGTGTGTGTGTGTGTGTGTGTGTGTGTGTGTGTGTGTGTGTGTGTGTGTGTGTGTGTGTGTGTGTGTGTGTGTGACCAAGTTCTTTTAGATAAACTACATGTTTCAGCTTGACCTGAAAAAAAGTATTTTCATAGATTAAGATCCCTTCTTTAACTTTAGACAATGGTTTAGCCCCTTTTTATAAACGTTTACTTTATTAAAACAGTAATGATTTAAATTAATATGTAGAAGGAAAAACTAGCTGCCAACAAAAACTTTCAAGTTGTTTAGATTCAGTTAGATCTGTCATTTTCTGTGTACTTAAAACTCATCCTGTTTACCTTTGTTTACCTCTGGCAGATCACAGAACGATGGGAGTCTCTGTTGGAACCAAGACTGATCATTTAAATCGGGGAGGAAAACATACATAAAATGTGCAGTCTGCTCGGAACATGGAGTAGCTACCTGCAGCATATTAAAGTAGCTGAGACCTTCTAATTTTAGACAAGGACTTATTGTTTTTTTTTAAAAGGGATCTGAGTGAGATCAATTCCAAATAAACGTGTTTCCAATAAAACATTGCATATTTTTCTTTTATCATGAGAAAATCTTTTTGTTATTGTCACATGTAAACTTTTGAACTTAAAACTTTGTTTCTCTCTTCACAGAGTGTTAAACATCGCTAAAAGATGCACTATGAACTCTGGGTTATGGAAAAAGGCCCTCTCTTATGTTTATAGGTACAATTTGTAAGAATGAAGTGAGAATGACATCCTGTGGTCAGATTGGGTGCGTTCTTAGTGCCGTTCTGTGAGTTTCATAGCTGTTGCCAGTTACGGATCAGCGCCAGATGATTCTAGATGACAAGGAAAGACTACACAGTAAAGTTGATAGGTAGATACCTAGATTGCGCCTCTAGAGTGGGATCTCTTTTTTGTGGGGTTCCCCAGGGGTCCGTTTTAGGTCCGCTTCTTTTCAATCTATATATTTTACCTTTGGCAGCCATTTTTAGAAAATTCCGGGTAAATTTTCATCTCTACGCTGACGATTGTCAGCTTTATGTGGCCCTAAAATCTGCTGACCCTGTGCAACCACTGACTGACTGCCTGAGTGAAGTCAGGTCCTTGCTCTCGGCTAATTTTCTCCATCTTAATAGCTCCAAACTGGAGGCTATTTTCTTTGCCCCCTGCTCCCCCTCGGCTGTGGAGCCATCTCTGCACCCTTCATTGTCAGTTTTGGTGAAGCCGACAATTACAAGTTTGGGGGTCACTCTGGACGCTTTTAAAAAAATGGATGCACAGATAAATCAGGTAGTCAGGTCGTGTTTCTTTCATTTTCGCCGGCTGGCCAAACTAAAATCTGTCCTGAACAAAAAAGATCTTCAGTCAGTTGTTCATGCTTTTGTAGAGCCACGTATGGACTATGCCAATTCTCTTTTATATGGTATGCCCTCCTCTTCAGTGGTACGCCTCCAACTGGTACAGAATGCTGCCGCAAGGTTTCTTACGAGCATAGACCGACGGCAGCATATCACCCCTGTTTTAGCAAATTTACACTGGTTTCCAGTTCACTTTCGAATTAAGTTCAAAATTCTCCTGTTGGTTTACAAATCTATTCATGAAATGGCACCCTTTTATGTGGCACATCTTTTGAGTCCCTATGTTCCGGCGCGAACCCTGAGGTTCTCTGACCAGCACCTTCTGCTTGTCCCTCCTGCCCGCTATATGGCCCGTGACGATCGGGCTTTTTCAGTTTGTGCACCTAAACTGTGGAACCAACTCCCCCCTGACAGTCTGACTTGCCCCCTCCCGTCCCGCTTTTAAAGTACGTTTGAAGACATATTTCTATTCCCTGGCCTTCCCGGCTGAGACTGTTTACCACTTATGCTTTCATGTATTTTTTAAAAATTTTTGATAGTTTTAATTTGTTTTGTCTATTTTGGTGATGTATTGTCTTGTACAGCACTTTGGTTGGCATTGTCGCCGTTTAAATGTGCTTTATAAATAAAGGTTGATGATGATGATGATGATGATGATAAATACATTGTCATATCTGGTGCTAGCACGGTAGGGAGCACCTACTACACTTGTCACGATAGTACAGGGAGCCTCCTCCCCTTCTGGTTGGCTCCTGGGTCCGCAGAAAAACAAAAAAACGAATGCAAGTCAACAAGGTTAAAAGCTATTTTCTAATTCGCCTTGCCTTACGCCCTGGATCGCACATATGTTGTTCTTCAATTAAAATACATTTGTGTTTTGATCACGCCTGTCACGTACACTGCCGGTCAAACGTTTTTGAACGCCCCATTTTTTCCAGTTACTTATTTCAGTTTAAGTCATTCAAGTCCAGTGAATAGCTAGAAATGGTACAAAGTTAAGTGGTGAACTACCAGAGGTTATAAAAAGGTAAGGGTACTCATAACTGAAAAATAATGTACATTTCAGAATTATACAAAAAGGCCTTTTTCCGGGAACACAGCTGTTCTGCAGCAATGGAGGTTGATCTAGCTGTTGCTACTAACAGGTGTTCCAACTTTTCTGGATTACTTACAACCCCCTCTGTCTGCATAAAAGCAGGGTTGGAACATACTGTTGTACCAAACCCGTGAGCATCAGTTGAACAGTGTTGTACTGCAGATAATGGTGTGTTGCTACAAAAATGGTGAGGAAAAAAGCAATAACAATGGAAGAGAGACAGACCGTCATAACACTTAAGAATGTAGGTCTTTCCTACAGAGAAATAGCAAAGAAAGTTGAGGTGTCGGTGAGTACAGTTTCCTTCACCATCAAAAGGCACTTTGGGGTAAACTCTGACAGGAAGAGGTCTGGCAGACCCAAAGCCACAACTGCATCAGAGGACAAGTTTCTGACAATTAGCTTGTGTGATAGGCAGCTCACAGGACAGCAGCTTCAAGCACAGCTTAATAGTGGTCGTAGTAAGCAAGTCTCAGTTTCAACTGTGAAGAGAAGACGTGGAGCTGCAGGTTTGACAGGATGAGTTGCAGCAAGAAAGCCACTGCTAAGATGTCAGAATAAGAGAAAGAGGCTTGCCTGGGCCAAAAAACACCGCCATTGGACTACTGAAGACTGGAAGAAGGCATTATGGACTGATCAATCCAAATTTGAAATCTTTGGTTCATCACGCAGGATCTTTGTACACCATCGAGTAGGTCAAAGGATGGTTCCACAGTGTGCGGCATCAACTATCAAACATGGAGGAGGAAGTGTGATAGTCTGGGGCTGTTATGCTGGATCCAAGGTCCGTGACTTGTTGGTGACTTAGAGGAAGTGTGGTTTGCAGGTTTGTTGTTAGCTTGCTGCAACACCTTGAGAAACATAAGTATTTAAATTCCATTTTTGGTTCTTTTTAAACACAGGAAAGGTTTTTCTTTACCTTGCTGATGTTTCGTTTGCGGCTGCAAACATCCTCAGAGCTGACGCTGATCGTGGCGTCACTTCCTTCTCCGTTTTTGCGCGGGCAGCAGAGGACGTTGTCGCCCTCTGCTGCCCGCTCTCCCCTCTCCGATGATGCAGTCCCATGTGCGATCCAATGTGTAAACCCCATCGTCCCTGTTCATGGTCCCACATCCACGTCTCCTTATCTCGATTGCTTCTTTTATCCATCTTTTGTATTTCTGTTGTTCGGTGTTTATGATCCTTGTGTTGTACCAGTCCATTACATGGTTTCCTCTTGTGCAGTGATCTGTTGCGGCTGACTTCTTTATTGTGCATGAGAAAGTCAACTCTGGTGTGTGTGTGTGTGTGTGTGTGTGTGTGTGTGTGTGTAGCACTCACTCTTCTCTGGGATTATAGAGTTCTATTCAGGGCCCAAAACAGATAGCTGGTTTTGTCTGAACCTCTACCCTGCAGGCTTCTTCAACTCTCCAGGTTGCCACCTACATAATTCTGATGACTCTGCCATAGTCTGCCTCATCACTGGGGATTACACCTGAGAGTGCCGACAGGAGATGCAGGGTTTCGTGGACAGGTATCAACGAAACCACCTTCTGACGAAGAGAAAATGAACTGGTGATGGATTTCCACAGATGCAGGCCCTCTGCTTTGGTACTGGTAAAAATCCAGGGAGCAGACATTGAGGTAGTGGACTCGTGGTACCTGGGTGTTCACTTGAACAAGAAACTGGACTGGAACCATTTGACTGACGCTCTTTTTTTTTAAACAATGTATTTTTTATTATTTTGTGACAAAACCTTTAAACAGACTGAACAACATAAAACCCACCACTCACACTGCCACATTGGATCAAACCCAAAGAACAAAATAAACATGAAACAGATTTCAAAGCATCAGTCAAACCTAATATTAATGTGATCTTGTAAAGTCAGCAAAGAAAACGATCACAAAAAATTATACAAAACACTTCCAACAGGGACACCATCAAAATATAACACAAGGGATGACAACCGCAGCATAAATCACTCAACTGAGCTCTCTCGGTGCACATGAGATAGACTCTACAACCCTTGACTGTATGTCGCTGGGTCGAGAGTCTTTCCAACTGGACAATATGAGTCTTTTGGGCGGCAAAAGGCAATCACAATTGTCAAGTGTCCAAAGAAGCATCCATCACGACCAATACTAACAAAGCGGTTGTGAGGGACCAAGTTGAATAAGTGGAGGAACACAGGAAATCTCCAAAAATAGAGGTTCTTTAATTTCCTTTAAAAATATATATTAACAAAATAGCTTGAGCTCATAAAAGAGGTCAAACAAACAAATGGAAACTCAATAAACTACTAACAGTAATAATAAACCGCCGAGATCTCCCCTCTGGGGTCAGCTGGGACCCCGGAGGGGAGATCTCAGTGGATCGTCAAGGGGTAGAAGAAGAAGAAGAAGAAAATATTTCTATAGCGCCTCTCAAGATAAAAATCACGAGGTGCTTCACAAAAACAAAAAATGTAAAAATATAAAAAGCATTTAGAAAATGTTTAAAAATATATTTAAAATGAGCAAAAATAGACAATTGTGATAAAAAAATAAGAAAAAGAGAGAGTGAACAGGAAAGAGGGAAATCAGTGGATCCCGAGGAAGGTGGGATAGGTGGGGAGAGCAGAATAAAGAGAGAGAGGTGAAGAAGGTCATACAAAAGCCAGCTTGAACAAGTGAGTCTTCAGCTGCTTTTTAAAGGAGACCACTGAGTCCACTGATCTCAGGCTCAGGGGGAGAGAGTTCCAGAGTCTGGGGGCCACAACAGCAAATGATCTGTCACCTTTTGTCAGTGGGTAGGTCAGACCCCGAGGGTCAGAGACAGACGAAAGCAGCCCCGGCGGGGTGGGTTGGATCCCGAGGGTCAGAGAAGGACGAAAGCGCAGCCCCAGCGGGGTTGGTCAAATCCCACAAAAGAGCTAAACAAGCATCACTCTTTTCTAACCCACTGAAGCCACGCACGCAGAAGAGAAACAGTTCTCAGTTGTGTCTCCTTCATATGAACTCGAACATCTGTTCTTTTGACTCATTCTGACAGTTTGTTAGATTGTACATCTCAAACACAGTCGCAGTATCCCCAAAAATCTTGGAAGAGCAGCACATTGGCATTAACTTAATTATCAGTTCATCATGAGGCTGCTCTGTAAACCCACGTAATATCCAGTCGTATGGCACTTCAGACAAGCAACACAGGAACCACTGACACCTGGCACACTGAGCTTGGATAGGAGGTTCTTGCAATTGCTTTCCTCTGTCTCCGACCCTCGGGGTCCGACCGATGCCTCGGTGAACCGCCGCGCTCTCCCCTCCGGGGTCAGCTGGGAGCCCTCCGTGGTGTTAGTCGGACACTGGCTGCCAAAGCACAAAAAACCAAACAAGTTACAAAGGTTAAAAGTGTGGTCGGGACAGAGGAGAGGTTCCTGTCAGAAATAACAGAATGAATCTGATAAATCGTAACCGGTTGTTAAGGATTCGTTCTGTTTGGAGTTAGTTTCATTTGGAAATGTTGTCTGAGAGTGCAACCTGTTCCGAGCTTTCAATCAGTTTGGTTACCTTGGCAACACGGCGTGTATGATCGGGGAACGGAGGAGGTTCTGGGGGTTCTCGTAAAAGTAAACGTGAACTGGAATCGGAATCATGCGGTTTATCCGTCGCGCCACAAAAGGGTCCCAAATCACAGCATGACAGAAGGATTTGCTTTGAGATCAGTGCACTCACAGAGAACACGTTCCCTCCAGAGTGCACACTCTGTTAGCCCTCTCAGGCTCAAACTAAGTTTTGATAAAAGGACGAAAAACTGAGTCCTTCTGGAGTACTTCAGAGTTAAAAAATGCTCATGAAATACGTATGTGGAGTTAACAGGTTGGTATAGGTTTTAACATTGCACATCTGCAACGCCTGCCTCCAGAGGGTTAAATCCTCCAATAAAGCAGATTAGCCATGATATCATTTCAGTTTCCCGTCGGTCACATGTGCCCTTTATTGGTTTTAGCACCAGTTATGCGAAAAAGCAGTTTTTCCACCGACATAATTATTTATTGGGTGAAATAATTTTTGGAGAAGGAACACGTGTGAACGACTGAGACCTTCATTACTGCGGTTCTTCGTTCCACAACTAGATGCTGTTTGCATGCATGGTTAGAGCTGTTCTTATACTTAGGAACATTTCCACGCACAAGTACAATTAGTTGAATACCACACAATCCGTAAAATCGTTCCTATGCATGAAATACGCACAGATCTGTTTGTAAGTATGGTTGATAAATGAGGGCCCTGGTTGTGAATCCGCTAGACCACATAGGTCAATATGAACATCCATAAATATAATTTATATTTGCTGATATCTTTCAATTTTGAGTAGCAAGAACAGCGTTTGAATAAGGGTAGGTTATTTACATTGTTGCTATGTAAAATAAGAATTACAAAGTGGTGTTTTTTAAATGTTAAAATGGCTTGCCAAAGTACCCTCTTTTAGAGACTGGATGCTGGTTGGAGAGTGACGCTCAACTTGCTGCTTCAGAATTCCCCACAGGTGTTGGACTGGGTTCAGATCAGGAGACATACTTCACCCTGTTCTTCTGCAGAAATGCAGCAGCTTTAGATGTGTGTTCTGTATGGTCAGGTGATCAAAATGCCATAAAAAGCTTTACAAAACTGTTTTATTTTAACAAAAAACACACGACGCAACATTAAAATGTGGTTTTACGAATTATATTTGGATGTTTATAACTAAATATATTGCGTGATGTCATGGGGACTCAAATGACACCAAACTGTAGGAATGACCTAGCTCACTTACTGGTGCGGTGAATGTATGGAATTGACAGTCCTTGACAATTTTATGGCGCATTTTGATCCCCATACACACATCACGAAATTCCTTCGCGTTCCGATCGTGTTTTTCCGTAGCCTATCGTGTGACGTCATAGCAGCAGCAGGGCCAGTCGGTCTGGTCTGGTGAAGCCGCGGACTCGGAGGATCAAAGCACCGATGAGCTGGTTTTTTCACCATAAATTTGATTGAGGAAAAAACACCGTGCACGGAGGTCGTTTCAGGAATGGAAGGACATCCTTTCCCCGACCAAGACCAGCTTCTTTGGGTTGTGAGGAGGCTCAAGGAGGTTTTCGACGTGTGTGATGAGGATGCTGACGGCTTCATCCGGGTCGAGCACTTGGTGGACCTCGGACTTCAGTTCGGTCAAGGAGAAGAGGTAAGGTTTATAAAAGGCAGGCGAGGTGTGAGTGACTGTCCTCTGCATTCGTTCAGTCATCAGTAGACGGTGATTGAAGGGATCTGATGAAGGCTGGGCCAGGGAGCCTGTTCTCGGTCATATAAGCCATAATCAGGAGCACCATGTGCATGTACGAGGAGATAAGAACACACATTTCTGCCTACGTTACTTGTATCATTTGTTCTTCCTTATTTCGATGGAAAACAAAAAACAGAAAAAGTCATATTTCATTTGTTTCTTAAACAGAAATGTCCTTTTTATATTTTCTATTTAAGCCTTTAAATATGAAATGGAAAAATGGACTGCAGGACAGAAATGCATTTTAGTTGTTGATGTTTCAGGATTACGTGGACAGGTGTCAACTCGTGCCCGCGTACAGGGAGTGCAGAATTATTAAGCAAATGAGAATTTTGTCCACGTCATCCTCTTCATGCATGTTGTCTTACTCCAAGCTGTATAGGCTCGAAAGCCTACTACCAGTTAAGCATATTAGGTGATGTGCATCTCTGTAATGAGAAGGGGTGTGGTCTAATGACATCAACACCCTATATCATGTGTGCATAATTATTAGGCAACTTCCTTTCTTTTGGCAAAATGGGTCAAAAGAAGGACTTGACAGGCCCAGAAAAGTAAAAAATAGTGAGATATCTTGCAGAGGGATGCAGCAGTCTTAAAATTGCAAAGCTTCTGAAGCGTGATCATCGAACAATCAAGCGTTTCATTCAAAATAGTCAACAGGGTCGCAAGAAGCGTGTGGACAAACCAAGGCACAAATTAACTGCCCACAGTGGCGTGTCCAGATCTTTTAAAATGGGGTGGCCCAGGTGAGGCACAACTTTGCGCATGGGTGGCACCAATGGTTATGCTTTTTTGTTTTTAACCCCCAAGCCTTTTGTGGACAATGAAAAGCCTATTTAAATAAATTAGTGTGTTGGCATCTGGGGTGGCCAATCAGATTCCAAGGGTGGCATGTGCCACCCCAGGCCACTCCCTGGACACGCCCCTGACTGCCCATGAAGTGAGAAAAGTCAAGCGTGCAGCTGCCAAGATGCCACTTGCCACCAGTTTGGCCATATTTCAGAGCTGCAACATCACTGGAGTGCCCAAAAGCACAAGGTGTGCAATACTCAGAGACATGGCCAAGGTGAGAAAGGCTGAAAGACGACCACCACTGAACCAGACACACAAGCTGAAACGTCAAGACTGGGCCAAGAAATATCTCAAGACTGATTTTTCTAAGGTTTTATGGACTGATGAAATGAGAGTGAGTCTTGATGGGCCAGATGGATGGGCCCGTGGCTGGATTGGTAAAGGGCAGAGAGCTCCAGTCCAACTCAGGCGCCAGCAAGGTGGAGGTGGAGTACTGGTTTGGGCTGGTATCATCAAAGATGAGCTTGTGGGGCCTTTTCGGGTTGAGGATGGAGTCAAGCTCAACTCCCAGACCTACTGCCAGTTTCTGGAAGACACCTTCTTCAAGCAGTGGTACAGGAAGAAGTCTGCATCCTTCAAGAAAAACATGATTTTCATGCAGGACAATGCTCCATCACATGCGTCCAAGTACTCCACAGCGTGGCTGCCAAGAAAGGGTATAAAAGAAGAAAAACTAATGACATGGCCTCCTTGTTCACCTGATCTGAACCCCATTGAGAACCTGTGGTACATCATCAAATGTGAGATTTACAAGGAGGGAAAACGGTACACCTCTCTGAACAGTGTCTGGGAGGCTGTGGTTGCTGCTGCACGCAATGTTGATGGTGAACAGATCAAAACACTGACAGAATCCATGGATGGCAGGCTTTTGAGTGTCCTTGCAAAGAAAGGTGGCTATATTGGTCGCTGATTTGTTTTTGTATTGTTTTTGAATGTCAGAAATGTATATTTGGGAATGTGGAGATGTTATATTGGTTTCACTGGTAAAAATAAATAATTGAAATGGGTATAAATTTGTTTTTTGTTAAGTTGCCTAATAATTATGCACAGTAATAGTCACCTGCACACACAGATATCCCCCTAAAATAGCTAAAACTAAAAACAAACTAAAAACTACTTCCAAAAACATTCAGCTTTGGTATTAATGAGTTTTTTGGGTTCATTGAGAACATGGTTGTTGTTCAATAATAAAATTATTCCTCAAAAATACAACTTGCCTAATAATTCTGCACTCCCTGTATTGTGTCCCAGAGTCCGGAGCGCGCGCTGGGCAGGAGGTGCAGATTCCCTCCACCGCACCTGGATTCAGTTTTCTAGATGTGTTTTTGTGTTTGGGATTAGTAAAGAGGCTGAAGGATGTGTGTCGTGACTCCATTGTTCAGTCTGTGGGTGACAGCAGGAAGCGCTAGGTGGGTGCTATAGCTTTAATCACATCCAGGTTTTAGCTCATACATTAGCACACTGAACCTAAACTTTCCTGTTGACAATTTCGTTGTAAAACTTTTTTTACACTGACAAATTAAATTCCTTACTTTGCTTCATCTCTTAACCCCCAAATGTCTGAAAATGGAGTAATTCAGCTGCTATAAAGTGTTTAATCTGTCCAGATCGACTCGGATGGTTGTGATTTGATTTGAAATGAATGGATTTCTCTCTTATAGAATTTATTTCGTACATCTCAGCCCACTAGGCTATTAGCATCATCTTTATTAACCCCAAATGGATTAAATCTATTTTAAAATTGAACAAATAAAAACTATGAAATAAATATCCACATGAATAAATACTAGGCAACTGTGTAATCTGACGATGAAATAACTGTTATGTATAATCTGTCACGTTGAGAGCAGGAGGTTTGGACCCAAGGTGCAGAAAATCCAGAACACACAAGCAGGAGCGGTTGAAAAAGTAAAATCCTTTATTTAGGAAGATAACCAAAAATCCAAGGGGAGAAAGCCAAAACCTAATAACTAAACTCAGACCAAAAAACCAAAAGCTCACCTTCTGAGCAGAGACCTATGGGCCTTTCCCATCTGTACCGGGTCGGCCCGGGCCGGGTAGCGTAGGTTGTTTACATATCTGGGTGGCCTGGTATTTTTCCGGGCCAACCAAGGCTCATTCTCAGCCCTCTTCTCGAGGGGGTCTGCTTCAGGCCGACCAGGGCCAACACACCCACTGCTGACAGCAAATTCACACCTTCCATTAGAGCAAGCCTCTGATTGGTGGGTAGAATCAGCCCACATGGGCTTAAGGCAAGGATGTGTGGAATCAACCGGGCCAGGCTGGGGCCGACTGGGGCCGACTGGGGCTACCCAGCCCGGGCCGACCCGGTACAGATGGGAATGGCCCACTAGAGACTAGAGACAAAACAACGCTGACCTAAGACAATGAACCAACAAACACAGAGTGACAAGACAGCTTATAAACACAGAGGGAGGTAATCGGCGAAACAGGCGACAGGTGTGAGGAGTGTGAGCTGAGGCGAAACTGGTGGAATCAATTAACTAAATGGGCAGGGAAAGAGCTTGGCAGGAGGGCAGATAAACATTAACCTATAAAACATGGATCTAACTAAACCTAAAAGACAGAGGGCAAAAATAAACCACTAATAACCAGATGGTTGAGGAGGACCAATCTAAAGACAACTAGGAAAACCAGGGAGTGACTAGGAGGACACAAGAGGAGAGCCTGAAGTGGGAACAGGAAGGGGCTGGGGAACAAAGGGACACAGAACATGACAAAATCTAAGCTCAGCAATATGAAATATCATTCATTTTTATTTTAAAATGCGTTTATTAATATAAAGTTTTATTTCAAGAATTTTTTTCATAATCCAAATTATTGTTGAGGCACTCCTTGAACCGCCACCTTATCGTGGTGGGGGAGTTTGAGTGCTCTAAGGATCCTAGGAGCTATGTTGTCTGGGGCACTTTATGCCCTTGGTAGGGTCACCCATGACAAATTGGTCCTAGGTGAAGGGTGAGACAAAGTGCGGTTCAGAAGACTCCTCATGCAAGTGAGATCAAAGAGCCAGAGTACCCGGCCAGGAGGGTTACCGGGGTCCCACCCTGGAGCCAGGCCTGGGGTTGGGGCCTGTGAGCGAGCACCTGGTGGCCAGGCTGTTGCCCATGGGTCCCAGCCAGGCCCAGCCCAAACCGGATACATGGGCTCATCCACCTGTGGACCCACCACCTGCAGTGGCGTGATTGGGAGGAGCGGCCCGTCCAATCTGAACTCGAGTGGTGTTCTGTTATTGGACTTCTGCGCCAGTCGAAGCTTGGCCATAACAAACATCATGTTCAAACATAAGGATGCCCATCGGTATACCTGATACTAGGGCAGCCTAGGTTACAGGTCAATGATTGACTTTGTAGTTGTGTAGAGTGTCAATAGTTACATCTTACGTAGGAAACCATCATAGGTGAGATTCCATATAAAATATGGAATCAATTTGATGTATCTTTGAATACCTTTAATCAGAAGATCGGAACTTTTTATTGCAGGGATTAGGTAACACTTCTTAATAACCCAGAGTCAAAAAGAGAGAGAGAGACAAGTTTAAACGTTTAAGAAGATTTATTTCCAAACAATTTAAACTAAGGCTAACTCTAACTTTAACTCTAAACACTGTGTGATGAATGGATCTTGGTTGTGAATGAGGCAGGATGGATGGTGTAAATGTGGAATGTTGTTATCAGAACTCTCGTTTCCGGAGAAGCCTTAGTTCTGTGTGGGAGCGAATGTTTTTGCTCTAAACTAGTCGGGAGTTTCAAAAACCACATTCAGACGCTATCTTGCCATCTACATACCCATGTGGAGACCTCCTTGCAGATCCAGAATGCCAGGTTCTCGAACCCTCTTGGTACCGAAGCCGGTTAAACAGCGTACGGCACAACAGACTAGTCTTGGAATGCCCCAAGGGAAGCGGCAGGTGTTTGACAGTGTCAGCGGGACTCTGAAGGGTCAGTGAGTTCAGCTTTTACTCTGAAGTAGTGTTGCGTCAGGTGGAGCTTGCAACAGGTTTGTTTTCCAGCTTGTCGTTTGGTTCT